ATTCAATGCAATGCCCATCAAAGTCCCAGCAACATTCTTCACAGACCTCGAAAGAACAACACTGGAAAAGCAAAAAAAAAAAAAAAAAAAAAAAAAACCAGGATAACCAAAACAATCCTGTACAATAAAGTAATTTCTGGAGGCATCACAATCCCTGACTCTACTACAGAGCTACAGTACTGAAAACAGCATGGTGTTGGCATAAAAACAGACAGGACCAATGGAATTGAATCAAAGACCCAGATATTAATCCACACACCTATGAACACCTGATTTTTGACAAGCAAAAAATATCAAATGGAAAAAAATTCAACAAATGCTGGCATATATGGATATTAACACGTAGAAGAATGAAAACAATTCCGTACCTATCACCATGCACAAAACTCAAGTCCAAATGGATCAAAGACCTCAACATACAGCCAGTCACATTGAACCTCATAGAAAAGAAAGTGGGAAATACACTTGAATGCATTGGCACAGGAGATCACTCCTAAATATAACCCCAGTATCATAGACACTGAGAGAAACAATTAATAAATGAGACCTTCTGAAACAAAAGCTTCTGTAAAGCAAAGGACACGGTCAACAGGACAAAACGACAGCCTATAGAATGGGAAAAGATTTTCACCAACCCCACATTGGATAGAGGGCCAATCTCCAATATATACGGAGAATTCAAGAAATTGGTCATCAAAAAAAAAAAAAAAAAAAGAAAAGAAAAAGAAATTGGTCATCAATAGAACAAATAATCCAATTAAAAAATGGGGTACAGACCTCTCAACAGAGGAATTGATAATGGCTGAAAGACACTTAAGGAAATGCTCAACATCCTTAGCAGTCAAAGAAATTCAAATCAAAACAACTCTGAGATTCCATCTTTGACCTGTAAGAACGGCCACGATCAAAAACACTGATGACAGCTTATGCTGGAGAGGTTGTGGGGTAAAGGGAACACTTCTGCATTGCTGGTTGAAGTGCAAGCTGTTAAAACCCCTTTTTGGATATCTGTATGGCAATTTTTCGTAAAATTAGGAAATAATCTACCTCAAGACCCATCAATACCACTTTTGGGTATATATCCAAAGGATGCTCAATCATACCACATGGACAGGTGCTCAACTATGTTCATAGCATTTTTTTTTTGTCATAGCTAGAACATGGGAACAACCTAGATGCTCCTCGACCAAGGAATGGATAAAGAAGATGTACATTTACACAATGGAGTACTACACGGGGGGGAGGGGGGGTGGATAATAATTCCTTGAAATCTGCAGGCAAATGGATGGGTCTAGAAAACATATTGAGTGAGGTAACCCAGACCCATAAAGACTAATATTATATGTGCTCACTTATAAGTGGCAGTTAGACATAAAGCAAAGAAAACCAGCCTATGATTCACAATCTCAGAGAACCAAGACAACAATGAGGACCCTAAGAGAGACATACATGGATTTAATTTACATGAGAAATAGAAAAAGACAAGATCTCCTGAGTAAATTGGGAGCATGGGGACCATGGGAGAGGGTTGAAGGGGAGGGAGGGGAGGAGAGAAAAATGTATAGTTCAATAAAGTCAATAAAAAGAACTAAGCCAGGCAGTGTAGCACAGGCTTTTAATCCCAGCACTTGGAGAGGCAGGCGGATCTCTGAGGTCAAGATCAGCCTGGTCTACAAGAGCTAGTTCCAGGATAGGCTCCATAGCTACAGGGAAACCCTGTCTCAAACAAACAAACAAACAAACAAACAAAAAAACCCACACGGATAACATTAAAAACTAGATCACAGGGGCTGAAGAGATGGCTCACAGATTAAAAACATAATGGGTTTAAAAAAGGGAGGGGATCATAACTACTGACACTGATGAAATCCAGATATGAATATTAGGTTATATTTAAAAAACATATACTTGGGCTGGAGAGATGGCTCAGTGGTTAAGAGCACTGCCTGCTCTTCCAAAGGTCCTGAGTTCAATTCCCAGCAACCACATGGTGGCTCACAACCATCTGTAATGAGGTCTGGTGTCCTCTTCTGGCCTGCAGACATACACAGACAGAATATTGTATACATAATAAATAAATAAATAAATATTTATAAAAAAAATAAAAAACATATACTTAACAAAAAATGGAAAATTTAAAAGAAATGGAAAATCTCTTGATAGTTACCACATGCCAAAATTAAATAGAATCAAATAAATAGATCTATAATACCTAAGGAAATAGAAACAGTTATTAAAAGACAAATATAGTATGTACTCACTTTGTTTGTTTGTTTTTCAAGATAGGGTGTTTCTCTGTAGCTTTGGAGCCTGTCCTGGAGCTAGATCTTGTAGACTAGGCTGGCCTCGAACTCACAGAGATCGGCCTGCCCCTGCTTCCCAAGTGCTGGGATTAAAGGCGAGTGCCACTACCGCCTGGCTAAATTCGTATCTTGTAACTTGGATATTGACAGAGGCATTCCACTGAAAGCATTAGACTTTTCATTTCTTTTGCGTTTTGGATAGGCATCTCTTATAATTCCTTGGAAGGTACCACTGGTTGCACGACCTCTCCTGGCTCCAAATTCTAAAAAGATTTGCAGGTTACGTCAGGAAATCCAGTTTTTCTTGAGAGTTGGCAAGTAAGAAATGACAGCAGCTCCTGAAGTGCTTCCGGGTCTCACGGAAAACTTAGGGTACATTGCTAGGACCAGGGAGGGAGACTCTGTTTACATTTATTTAGGTAATCTAGCATCAGAGTTCAGGCTTTTTTTTTTCTTTTTGCCTGTGTTTACTTTGATTTGTTCATCTCTGTCAGCCAAGAATCAACAATCAACAGGTTGCTGAGTGATTAGGCACAAGGCTGTGCATATTTCTTGAGTTAGGAACTCAATGATATAGGGTGAAAGACTCCTAGAAACGTTAAACAGCTCACCTCCAGTTGGGTTAAAATCCTTTGTATCAATTCCTCCCGAATTCCTTTGAGCCCTACAGTTGAGGATTTTGGAAGTTTTTTTCTTTTCTTAATTGGTTTTTCTCCAGGCAGGATTTCCATGTGTAGCCCTGGCTCCCCTGAAATTCACTCTGTAGATCAGGCTGGTCTTGGAACTCACAGATATCCTCCTGCCTCTGCCTGCTGAGATTTAAAGGTAGTGCGCCACCGCTGCCTGATAGTGTTTTGATACCGAGTTTTATTGGATGTGAGCGATAGACAAGTACTACAAAAGGAAAAAAAAAAGTGTGCCAAGACAGAGTAGTCGATGGGAGCTCCATTCATTTTTAAAAATTGTCTCGGTTTTCTAAGGTAGTGTGTTAGTATGTGCAGGCTATCTGGCGTTGGGCACGGTATTCTACTTCCTCAACCAGCCAAACGCAGGGATTACGGGTGTGCGCCATTAATAGCCGTTGTTTCCGGAAAGTAACCCTGAAGAGATTATCCAAGGGTGACCATCTAAGGAAGCTTTTGGCGGACACAGAAAGGAAAATGATCAAGTAAACAGATGTCTTTCCCCACCAGGCTAACCTCAGGTACAGCAACTGTTGGCTTTGTATTTCTTTTCTCTATGTTTATTTTTTCTTTTCTTTTCTTTTTTTCTTTTTTCTAGACAGGATTTCTCTGAGTACCTTTGACTATTCTGGAACTCGCTCTGTAGACCAGGCCGCCCTTGAACTCAGAGATCCCCCTACTTCTGCTTCCTGAGTGCTGGGATTAAAGGCGTGTACGACCACTACTGTTCGGCATTTGTTTCTTAAAACGATATTAAAAAATTGTGAGTTCGAGGCCAGCTTGGGCTACAAGAACTAGTTCCAGGACAGACTCCAAAGCTACAGAGAAACCCTGTCTCAAAAAAAACAAAAACAAAAACAAAAAATTGTTGACGTTAAGGAATTAGCTGAAGAGGTAACCTCTTCCCCCTTTGAGACTCTAATGTTTAATATCGATATAGACTTTTTTTCCGATAAAGAGCTTGAACTGAGCATTGACAATTATGGGATTCGTGTGGTCTACGAAGAATGGCGGCTAGGGAAGAATTTTTCTTTCTCTACTTGGTATACCAGTTTTATCCTCGGCGGTTAGGCTTAACTAGCTGTCGTGACATGTGTATCCCAAGGAATGATTTATTGAACGCAAACCATTTAGTTTCTGCATCTACCAGAGGGTAATATGGAAAAAACAGGGGGCACATTTCCGCCGGAATTTTCCCCTGGCCTGTAGGATGACTATCCGTGCTATGGGGCGACCTCAAACTGAGTAATTCATCCCAAGACTTTGAAGGCGGCACCTAGCTGCAGGCTTCCCAGAGCCCAGGCGGCGCGGCTTCGGACCTTCAAATCTAGGGACGCGCGGTCCTCACCAATCAGAGGCTCCGGCCGGCCCCTTCCCGACGCCTAGTCCAATCCGGTGTGGGTTATGAAGCCACGCCCCCGCTCGGAGGGAGGGATGCCTAGCGGATTTCCGCGGCGCGCGCAGGCGCACTTGCAGCGATGCGGAGCCGCCCCTTCCGCGGTCGTTTTCCTATAGCTCGCGACTGTGGGGTCTGGCGTCCCGGCCTGGTGAGGAGGGTCGTCGGGGCGGTGGACTTGAGGGACAGGGCAGGGCTCTTTATTTGTGCCCGCGCCGCGGCTTCTGGGCGGCCGCGGGACTGCCCGGCCTGGTGGGGACACGGGCTGGAGTCTGGGCTGCTCTGTGAGCCCGCGTGTGACCCGGGCTCCCGGTCTGGCCGTGGGCTTTGGAGCGACCGCATCTTTGTGTCCTCCGGTCCGGCTAGTGACTGCTCACCTCTGAGGGAGGGACACGTGGCCTCTGAGCCTTGCGGTGTTTTCTTGCAAAGTGCTCTGGCGACTGCTTTGCTGGTTTGTGATGGGCGGTCCTGTCCTTCTGACTGACATTCCTGGAAGTAATGTTTTTGTTCGCTCTGAGCTCTTATGTCAACTAGTGTCATTCACAGTTATTCCTAAAAGTTAATGCAAAATGAAAGACTGTTTACAGTCCCCCTCCTTTCCTCTGCTCTTGATTTTAGACTTTGTGTAGTTAAGCATGAAGTCCCTTTGGACACAGTCGTGTGGAGGACAGCTGTATATATGACAATACTAACATTCGCAGTTACCATTTTGAGGTCATGCTTCTGGTATTTTCATTACCCCCGAACCAACCTTTCCTCCAGATTACAGATTTGCGGGCAAAGTTCACGGTAAGTTTTAGAAAGTTATATACAAAATGTTTCTGATTTTGACATGTATCTCTGTGTGCCAATAGTTAAATGATGGTTGCTGGCAATTTTGACTGTGTTTTGGGCTCCGCAGGATGCACTTTTTAGACATAACTAGATACGTAGACCTGCAACGACTACAGGAAGTAATCGTTTCTGTGTCCATGAATGTCGATTATTAAATACAAACAAGCGCATATGTGAAATTTGAGGCTCCTAAACTTTTTAGAGAAAATGGCAAGAAGGCCAGCCTGGTTTACAAAGCGAGCTCCAGGACAGCCAGAGCTACACAGAGAAACCCTGTCTTGAAAGACCAAGGGGGGAAATTAGCAAGTGAAATCCTAAAGGTGTATGCTTGTCTAAAATGCAATATTAAAATAAAATAAGTAGATAGCATCGTATTATCTTCACATTACATGGTGAATAATTGATTGCTGAGGGAAATTAGGGCCTTTTTCCCATCCAGGAAAGCTTTAGGAATGTGCTGTATACATGAATGGGGTTTTGGTTAGTTTTGAAATGTTATTATCATCACATTATTTTATGTGCATGCACATGTCAGGGGATAGCCTGTGGGAGTTGCTTCTCTCTATCATATGGGTCCTAGAGATCCACCTCAGGTCGTCAGCCTTGGTGTGGCAAATACCTTTACCTGAGGAGCCACGTGCTTTTTGATTGTCTTTTAAATTTTGTTTATTCAGGATCATCCCCTGTAGCTCTGTCTGGCACGGTACTGGCTGTGTAGCCCAGGCTGGCCTGAAACCTGACACAGTCCTGCTTCAACCTCCTGGATTATACAAGTACAAGGCTAGATTTAGGCAGGATAGTCAAAACATTTGTGCAGTTGCTTAAAATGTGATGGACAGTTGGGCGGGTGGTTGCACGAGCCTCAGGAGGTGTAGAGAGGAGGATCTCTGTGAGTTCAAGGCCACCCTGGTCTACAGAGTGAGTTCCAGGACAGTCTCCAAAGCTACAGGGAAACCCTGTTTTGATAAACCAAGTGTGGAGGTGGGGTAATGGATAGCATGCATTGGGAATAAGGATTGGGTCTCAGAGCTAGAGAGACATTTGAAATTAGAAACATAAGTTGATAACTGGGGCTGGAGAGATGACTCAGCGGTTAAGAGCAATGGCTGCTCTTCCAGAGGACCCGGGTTCAATTCCCAACATTCATCTGGCAGCTCACAACTGTTTGTAACTCCAGTTCCAGAGGATCTGATACCTCACACAGATATACATGCAGCAAAGCACCAATGCACATAAAAAATGAAATTAGTTAAAAAAAAAGATATCTCTAACTGAGAAAGCAGGAGAGCTTAGAATGATTGGAGGTCCCCAAGTTGTGAAATGAAGGATGTTGGGGCTGGATCTAGATTTGATAAGGGACCACTTTTCTTAGAAGGTCACGTTTAAGTTGAGGTCATCATAAGGAAGAAGCTAGGTATGCACTTACCTGGGAGAAGAAACTATAGGCCTTGAGGTGCACATAGGATGTGTGAACAAGCCTGAGTGGGGAAAGGGACAGGTGGGGAAGTAAACTGTTTTTAGCAGGGGATTTGTGGTCCTTTAAAGTACTGTGTGTGAGGTTGCAAGGATGTCAGCATGGAATCTAGAGGTCTAAAGGTGTGAGGCCGGATGAGGGTCAGATGAAGATGCTACTTTCTGAGGGTATTTACCCCAAGGGCATTCGGGCTGAGACCTGAAATGGTGTAATGTGTAACCTGGGTTATATAAAGTCTGCACACTGTAACGTTACAGGCAGAGGATGCTTTTTGCCTTCTCCATTCTGATGGAGGAGAACTTTGAACATGATTGTAGAAATCAGAGAAAGGAAGGAGTCAAGTGTAGTGGTGTCTGCCTGTAATATTCTTGGCCCTTGGGAGGCTGGGGCAGGAGGATTGTGTGTTGCAGTGCAGCTTGGTTATATAGTAAGACCCTGTCTTTTTTTTTTTTTGGATTTTCGAGACACGGTTTCTCCGTAGCTTTTTTGGAGCCTGTCCTGGAACTAGCTCTTTTTTTTTTTTTTTTTTTTCTGAGTCAGGGTTTCTCTGTAGCTTTGGTACCGGTCCCGGAACTAGCTCTTGTAGACCAGGCTGGCCTCGAACTCCCAGAGATCCACCTGCCTCTGCCTCCTAAGTGCTGGGATTAAAGGTGTGCGCCACCACCGCCCCCCCCAGGGCCCTGTCTTTTTAAAGCAAACAAACAAAAATAGGGGAATGACTGGGGTAGAAAGTAGAGACCTTGATCCCGGTTGTGTCATTAAAGTGTGGCCACTCAGATTTGATGAGGGATTGCATGTAGGGGTGGAAGGTAGTGTCAAAAGTCTCGATGACTAAGATTTTTGGTATAGCTGATTAGGGGTTGGAGTTGTCAGTTTTTACTGGTTTGGCGGATTGACTAGATTTTTTTTTTTTTTTGAAGGTTAAGAAGGATACAGAATCATGATTTATACTTTGGGTGCTTGTTAGATACCTAATATCTAGAGCCCAGCCTTGAGGTATACATTTCACATCGGATTTAAAGCCTTAAAACTGAAGACAGATATTCAAAAGATGTAGGAGAAAGAGATGCAGGACCGTGCTCCCCCTGGCGATAAGGAGAAGAAAAAGGAGCAGCTGAGGGAGCAAGAGGAGAGCCAGTTGTCTCTTGAAAACCATGTGAAATAGTTTCTCATTGAAGGAATAATCATCCGAATCCTGTTCTGACCATCCTGCAAGCCCAGGGCTAAATTTAGATTTGTTCTTACTGTTTTTATTCAGTATTGAAAATGACTAAATTGTTCTGGAGAGATGACTCAGCGTTTAAGAACACTGACTGTTCTTTCAGAGGTTCTGAGTTCAATTCCCAGCAACCACATGGTGGCTCACAGCCATCTGTGATGACATGTGTTGCAGGCAGAACACACTGTATACATAATAAATAAATCTTAAAACAAAACAAAACAACTAAATGTCCACTTTTTAAAAGTTATTAAGATTTATTTTTCTTTACATTTATTTATTTATTTCTTCTGTGTGTATATCTGCATATGTGTGTAGTTGTGGGTACATGAATGCCACAGCTCATTTGTAGCTACCAGAGGACAAATTACTGATTCTCTCCTTCTGCCACGTGGGATTAAAGTTAGATTATCAGGTTTTATGGCATCTCTACCCAGTGGGCCATCTTGCCAGCTCTAAACTCAATCTAAACCCTAAAGATCATTAGTTATAGCCATGTTTGCTTTCTTTACTGGTTAAGTTTGTGGTAATTCATGTTTCTTCCTCCACTAAACCATGAGTAAGTCCAACTTGTGTTTCTTTACTGTGTTGGTTCTAAGAAAGTAAGTTTAGTATTTGATGTGTTTATCCTTTACTGTAAGGTAGCAAGGTGTTCTTTCTGTTTGTTTGTTTTTGCTTTTTGAGACAGAGTTTCTCTGTGTAACAGTTTTGTCTGTCCTGGAACTCCCACTGTAGACCAGGCTGGCTTCGAACTCACAGAGTGAGTGCTGGGATTAAAGGTGTGTGCCTGATGGTAGCAATGTATTCTGAGGCTTTCTTTAGCTCAGAGTATTTGTTAGTAGGTATTCTTTCTTATTGATTTTGCAAGAATCTTTTTTTTTTTTAAGAGACCTTTTTCTTTTAATGGAAAATGGTATCGTAATAGAATAGTCATCTTACTTAAAAATGCTGTTGTTGCAGTGAGATGGAAGATTTCCGAGGGATAGCAGAAGAGTCGTTTCCAAGCTTTTTAACCAATTCCCTACTTGGTAATAGCGAGGTTTTGGAAAATGTCACTCTTTCATCAAATTTTGGCTTGCCTATTGCTGTTTCTACACTTGCCAGGAACAGATCCAGCACTGACAACAGGTAAGACTTACTTGAGCACATGTTCTTTTCAGGCTCACGAACCCTATAATATACTGATCCACAGAAGAGCTGGATATTGAATTTTAGGGCTTGGGTTTCTGGCTCCCTACTTGCTTCTCTGGGTAATTGCCACTCTTTTATTTTCTCAGCTTACTGCTTTTTATATTCTTTCCTGCTTTATGTTCAAGAATATGTTTGAAAAGACATCTGTGAATTGCGTTTTCTAGCTACACAGGGAGCCTGGTAAACTGTTTCTCAACATTGGCCTGTGATGTGGCTTTGGATTTTGGCATCTTTTTTCTGTGACAGTTTCCCTTTTTACTTCACATCAGCCAGCTTCATGCTTTGCTGTGTTCGTGTGGCTCCTTTTCTTTGCTAGCCAAGTTTATTGAGTACTTTAGTGTTGCAAGGAGAGTCAGGCCGCTTGTTCGTCCCGGCTGCCTGGCTAGCTTAGCCCCAAAATAACCACACAGAAACTGTCTTAATTAAATCACTGTTTGGCCCATTAGCTCTAGCTTTTTTTTTTTTTTTGGTTTTTCGAGACAGAGTTTCTCTGTAGCTTTGGTGCCTGTCCTGGAACTAGCTCTTGTAGACCAGGCTGGCCTCGAACTCCCAGAGATCCGCCTGCCTCTGCCTCCCAAGTGCTGGGATTAAAGGCGTGCGCCACCACCGCCTGGCTAGCTCTAGCTTCTTATTAGCTAACTTTTATATTAATTTAACCCATTTATATTAATTTGTATATCGCCAAATGGCAGTTGCTTACCTGCAAAGATTCTAACTGGTGTCTGTCTCAGGCAGAGGATCCATGGTGTCTCTCTGACTCGTTCCTTCTCCCAACATTCAGTTCTGTCTTCCCCGCCTACCTAAGTTCTGTCCTATCAACAGGCCAAGGTGGTTTCTTTATTCATTAACCAAGAAAAGCAACACACAGAGGGGACTCCCACATCACTTCTGATTTTGTTTTTCTTTTGGTGGTACTGTGGATTGGGCTGAGGACCTTGTGCGTGTTAGATGAGCACTTTAACACTTATCTACATCCCTAGTCCTTGTTGTATGCTTCTGAAGTAACTTAGCTTGTATTCAAATAATGTTCAGTTCCTCAGATCAAATTTTTTTTTTTTTTTTTTTGGCGAGGGGGAAGGTGGAGGTGTGGGGGTGGGAGGAACTAGGTTGAAACATAGTTTCTCTGTGTAATAGCCCTGGCTGTCCTGGAACCCTTTGTAGACCAGGCTGACCTCAAATTTACAGAGATCCACCTGCCTCTGCCTCCTAAATGCAGAGGGATTAGAGGCATGGGCCACTACTCCTGGCCAGATCAAGTTTTCTATTCTTTTCTTTCTTTTTAATCACAGCTCCTATCTTTTTTTTTTAGAATTACTTATTTATTTTACGTATTTATGTTCTTGTCTACATGTACATCTGCACACCCAGAAAGGGGCATTAGATCTCATGACAGTTATGAGGTGGTTGTGAGCCACCATGTGGGTGCTGGGAATTGAACTTAGGTCCTTTGGAAGAGTAGCCTGTTCTCTTAAGCACTGAGCCATCTCCCCAGCCCCAAGTTTCTTATTCTTAAGAATCAAACCAGCTTTTATTTTAGTTTTTTTATTTTTCTTATTCTAGGTTTACAACTGAGTACATGTTTGCCTAAATACATTGTGTTTATATCATTCTAAGTGTGATGTGTATAGTTTTCACACATGATTTCATGTATGATCTAGACAGTATAAGAAATCTATGTTTATGTATCTGACTGGCATCTTCTTTGAACCTAGCCATTTGATGAGAGATAGCATCTTACCTTTGGGATGAAGGGACTGTGGTAACTCTGTAAAAAGTGACTTTGAACATTGGGGCTGCTGTGTGTTTTTATTTGACGAAGGCTTGTTTTATTATCATGTCACTCTATGACATTAGTTAATTTTGAGACCAGGCTAGCCTCAAACTTACTATAGCTCAGGATGACCCTGAATTTCTGGTCTGCCTGTTTCCACACAGAATTTTAAGCTTCTACCACCATGCCCAGAGTGTGTAGTGTTGGCATCAAATCCAGGTTTTTTTGTATTTAGGGAAGTACTCTACCAGAAAACTCTGTATCTTTAGCCCAACAAGCTGAGTTTTAATTGTAAAAAATTTAAATCTTAATCACTTTATATAGGTGTCCTGATGTCCAGGCCTCATACCTAACTGAAGGAAGGCTTTCAGTTCCTTTTGTCTCGTCTCCCAGTTGCCAGGATGACAACACTGAGCCAAGAGGAAGATTGCAACTCAGCTTTCAGGGTGATGAGTAAGTTCTTGCCTTCATTTACACTCTGGTAAAGCTACCCTTGGTCCAGGGGGAAACGTATGACGTCGTCTTTGACTACTACTTTGCACCTGTAAGAGCCTTCCTTTTAATCTTTTAATTACATTTTTGGCTTTTAAATATTTTTTTTTTCTGACTGTAAATGAAACATACTCATTGAAAAAAGTAAAAAATATAGTTATTAGGAAAGTCATCAGGGTCTATTATCTATTAACTAAAGAAGAGACACTGATTACATTTTCTTTTCTTTTTTTTTTTTTTTTTTTTGGTTCTTCAAGACAGAATTTTCTGTGCAACCCTGGCTATCCTAGAACTTGCTCTGTAGACCAGGCTGGACTTGAACTCATATCTACCTGCCTCTGCCTCCTGAGTGCTGGGATTAAAGACACATATGTGGTGGTCAGAGGACACCTTAGTTCTCTCTTTCCACTATATTGGTCCCAGGAAATAAAGTTTGGTGACAAATAACCTTTGTCTATTGAGCCATCTTGCTAGCTTAGTATTATATTTGATCTTTCATTTTTAGAGGTAAAAATAATTTATACATTTATATATATGAACTGTAGAAAATCTAGAAATCTCTCAAACTAAAACTAACTTGAAGTTCTTGATGGTATTAATATAGACAGTTTTAAGGTTTTCTGCTTGATTCTAAGTATTGCTGAGGCTTAATGTGCTGAGACATAGTCAGTGCTTTGCCTCTTAATATATGATTACCTTTGTATAGAAATATTTTTCTTTACTTTTTTTTTGTCTATATTGGGTTTCATGGTGTCTCTTCCTCAAGAGGGCACCAGATCTCGTAGAGGGTTGTGAGCAACCATGTGGTTGTTGGGAATTGAACTCAGGACCTTTAGATGAATAGGCAGTGCTCTTAATCGCTGAGCCATCACTCCAGCTGAAGTATTTTCTTTTCTTTTTAGAAGTTATTTATTTCTTTATTTATTTGATACTTTTGTTTCATTTGTAGTATTTTTTTACTTCTGCTCTTTTTTTGTGGGGTTTGAGACAGGGTTTCTCTGTGTAGCCCTGACTGGCCTTGAACTCACTGAGATCTGCCAGCCTTTGCCCACTGAGTGCTGGGATTAAAGGTATGCATCACCACTGCCCAACTGCCCCTGCCCTTTTTTAATGAGGTGAGATTTCCCTGTATTATCTATGAGTGTGCTTTGGTTTAAGCTAGAGGTATTTAATATATGGCAGCACTAATAAAGGGATAGAGGAAAAATAGGAAGTAAATTGTAGGCAAAGGTGTGTGGAAGCATTGCAGGACTCTTTAACTTAAAGCGTAAGGTTTCAGTGCTCTTTTTGTTGAACCCCTGACTCTGTTTAAGCTTGGTCCTTGGTCTCTGTCAAATGGTGTGTTTGTTGCACTTTGGGATTTGTCCCTGTGGGTCTTTCTGATTCCTTTCCTGCTGTGGGGAGCTGCTGTAGACCCACAAGCTAGAAGTTGATTGGAAGGAGAATTACTGTTAGCATGAACTGTTTCATCTGCATGAGAAATTGTAGAAGCAAGTAGAAAGTCAGGTATGAGACAGAAGTGGGAATAGGGTTAAACCTGTCAAATCTTCACTTTCTAGGTGTGGTGGCGTAATGTAATTCCACAGTATAACTCCGTAGAATAATTCCCTACTCTCATCTCAGCATGTGGGGGTAGAGTGTGCTGACATACCATCATTCCATACTGTAATACTAGCACTTGGGTTAGAAGAAGCAATATCAAAAGTCCAGGACAGCCAGGTTTACATGCAAATTCTAGGGCAACCAAGACCCCAGTGAGAGTCAATAACAAAAGCAAAACAACTGTAAAAACCTTTATTAACTCAAAGGTTTGCTGTTTTGGCAAGCATGCTATTCTAGTGTCTGTAAGTATAACTCAGTTTTAGAAAGCTGGCCTTTTTTCTTGACGTATTTATGTGATAGAGAAAGGGTTTTTCTCTGGAGAGGCAGAGTAGCAGAGAGACACTGTCCTTGGAGCTGATGGACTCTGCCACGGGACCCCACATTCTTATCTTGTCCCTGGAATGTATTTCCAGTTTGATTTCTTGGCTGAGCTCAGTTTTTATTTCACTGTGTATATCTATTTTTCTTTTTGAAAGATGAGGTGCTGTACTGGTTGATAGACATTTTTTTTAAAAAATATTTTTATTATGTACACAATATTCTGTTTGCATGTATGCCTGCAGGCCAGAAGAGGGCACCAGACCTCATTACAGATGGTTGTGAAACACCATGTGGTTGCTGGGAATTGAACTCAGGACCTTTGGAAGAGCAGGCAATGCTCTTAACCACTGAGCCATCTCTCCAGCCCTTAATAGACATTTTGTAGATTTACCCAAGGTAACTAACATTTTGTCATAATTCTCCTCCCTCAAAAAGTTCTGCCTCAAGGAAAAAGAGCTACATAGAAAACCCACATTTGTCGCTGGCTCTCATGAAACCAAGAACAGAAGAGAAGCAAGCTAACACTACAACATCTGTTCAGTGTCAGCGTCTTTTGGATGAAGTTTCCCCTCTGGAACAAATACCGGGTATGAAGTGTTCATAATTATTTCATGTATACATTTTAATAGATTTAATTTCCCTGTCCTTTGCTGGATGTCAGTTTTATTTTCTGTCCTGTGATAAACAGACATCTTTTCTTTGCCCTGGAAACCATGCTGTTAATAGGCACAGCATGCTTCTGTTTAGAACAAAGAGTGCATTCCTGGTACTTTTCACTTTTCTTCCACCAACCTAAACTTATTTTTGTATTAATATAATTCTAAAATAAATTGTTGTTTATAATTTTGAAATATTCAAAAGTGAGTCATTTAAATTTTTTTGTTTATTTAATAATGTGATTATTTTTATTTTTTAAATTTTTAAAAAGAGTTACTTATTCTTTTCTTTTATATTACATTCCAACCACAGTTTCCTCTCCTCCTTTAAAAATTTATTTTAGGGGCTGGAGAGATGGCTCAGTGGTTAAGAGCATTGCCTGCTCTTCCAAAGGTCCTGAGTTCAATTCCCAGCAACCACATGGTGGTTCACAACCATCTGTAAAGAGGTGTGGTGCCCTCTTCTGGCCTTCAGGCATACACACAGACAGAATATTGTATATATAATAAATAAATAAAAAAAAATTTTATTTTAAAGTAGATGTTTAAATGATGGTAGAGATGGAAAATGGTGGTGGGGTGTGGTGGTACACATCTTTAGTTCTCCCAGTATGAGGAAGAAGAGGCAGGGGAATCTCTGAGTTTGAGGTCAGATGAGTCTACAAGTTCCAGAACAGCCAGAAGTACATAGTGAGACACTGTCTCTAAAAAGATAAGAAAACAAACAACCATAACCACCCTCCCCCAAACAAAAAAGAAGAAAGAAAATGGACTCAAAACATTATTATAGATTTATCATATATATATTAAACAAGCTGTTTATTTGTAACAAATGTCTGGAAACCGTAAGTAGTGAAAGGCTTTATTGTAGTTTCTGTGACCTCGGTCCATGTGTGGCTGGTTGCATCGCTGTGGGCCTGACAAGATGATTGTTGTGGTGGGAGTATATGTACTGTGGAGCCAAACCCCTGACTCCAGGTCAGGGAGCAGGGACAGTTCTAACTCAGGGCCTCACACATGCTTAGGGAGCACTGGCAATGGAGCTATACTCCAGTACTATTTATTATGGCTCTCTCTGATATTGTAAAATTTCTGTTGTTATATATTTTAGACTACATCTGTAAATGTGCTAACCTTTTATTGTATGATCAATAGTGCTGTTATCAGTTGGTAAACTTACTTACTTTATGTGCTAGCAAGGCAGCCAGTGTTGATGTGCTTGAATTGAGGTTTGAAGATCATTTGTTTTATCCTGTGCAGTCATGCTTGTTGAAATAAGGGCAGCCTGTCATTTAGAACTCATTTCTGTATTTGGGCTTGTCTGCTGGCTTATGTGGATGTCATTTCTCTCCCCTTTCCTAAATCTCTTACTACGAAAACGTTAGCTTTACAGTTGATTAGATTGATGTTCAGGTTTCATGGCACGTGTGTAATTTTATGATACCCCATCCTAATAGTTTTAAAAGTTTAGCTGACCAGTGATGGATTCCTGTGTTATCATCTGAACATGCATCTATTCTGTTTCGAGCTAAAGGAAATGTTTAGTTCGTTTATTTGTTGCTTTTAAGTATGATTGAAAAATAATCTGATCCCTCGATTTTTGTTTTTTCTTAAATAGACTCAGCTCTTGATTTTCACTTAAAGTCATGTATGAATAATCAAGATCACAAGGTAAATTTTTATATATTTGTTATCAATGTCTGGAGTGCTGTAATAGAGTAGAAGTTTGTATTTCTCTCTCTCTCTCACACACACACATACACACACACACTGTACATAACAGAACTTTTGTAGCAAAATTGCAAATCTAGCTATGCTTGGTGTTATATCCCTATATTCCTAGCACTTGGGAGACTACCTGGAGGATTGCCGTGAATCTGAGGCCAGCAGGGCTGGATGGGAAGTCTTTTGTGTCTTAGTTCCCTTTCCTGTTGCTGCAGTGAACACCTGGTGAAAACAGAAAGGGTTTACTTTAGTTCACAATTCCACATCACTGCCGTCATAGCTGGGAATTCACAGCAGCAGCTTGAGTGAACTGGTTCTATGAAATCCATAATCAGAACAGAGAACAGTGCATGCATACATGGCCAGGTTTAGATTGCTTTCTCTCCTCTTTTTTTTTTTGCCATCTCTCTGTAGTAGTGGCTATCCTGGAACTTGATATGTAGAGCAGGTTGGCCTTGAACTCACAGAGATCTGTCTGCCTTTGCCCATCGAGGGCTGGGATTAAAGGCCTGTGCTACCAAGCCTGGAGTCTCTCCACTCTTATATAACCTTGGATTCCCTACTTAGGGAATGATGCCACCTACAGCAGGTGGGTCTTTTCACCTTAATTCATGTAATCACAGAAAGCCCAGAGAGTTATCTCTTAAGTGATTCTAACTTCTACCAAGTTGAAACACTATCCATCACCTTCTGTTGAAAAAACAAAGGTGGGGTGGTTTAGCTCTAGTAATAAGGAGATTCAAAGGTAGTTCTACCTGGAGGTGGTGGTGCTTGCCTTTGATCTCAGCACTTGGTCTCTTAGTTTAAGACCAGCTTGTTCTACATAGTGAGTTTCAAGCCAGCCACATAGTGAGACCTTGTCTCAAAAAAATAATAAAATAAAATGAAAGTTGTTCTGGCACCAACTTGTGCATTATATATGTATTGGATTAGATGAGTCCTGTCCTGTATAAATATAAAATCACATGGACATACAATGTTCTTAATCTTGAAATTAGGTTAATTTTGCAATTAACTCTTAAGTTGGTATCTGTTGCTTTTTAATATATATTAAATACAGGTGTGAAGCTGGGCGGTGGTGGCGCACGCCTTTAATCCCAGCACTCAGGAGGCAGAGGCAGGCGGATCTCTGAATTCGAGGCCAGCCTGGTCTACAAGAGCTAGTTCCATGACAGGAACCAAAAGCTACGGAGAAACCCTGTCTCGAAAATCAAATCAAAACAAAACAAAACAAAAAAACCAAACAACAAAAAGCTAGTGTGTGAAATAAATGACGCAAGAAAGTGTTAAATTTTTATTCTGGGCCTTAACTGTTTTTAGTAAGTTGCTTATGCCCTTTAATGCTAGGTTTTGGGGTTGGGAGGAAGAGAAATAAGTAGTTCTAAAAAATGATAGGAAAGATTGCTTGGATCAGGATTACTTACTCCAGCTTTCTTAGTGCATTCACTCCCTGTAGCAGACTTTATTGCCTGAATTTATTTGTGTAGTTTATTAACTATGTTACTTGATTTGTAAGCTACGGAGGCAGTTTGGTAGGGCCCTACATTTGAAGGTGGGTCAGTATAGGGAAGTAGAGTAGGGCAAGAAGGGAAGTTACTAGTCTACGCAAAGCCCAAATTCTTCATTGACTGACCTGTAGTTTTCACTTATTAACTGTCTTTTTTGATGCCCTATATATAACATTTGTTTCCTTTTAGACTATCATGCCTGATGCTGGGAAACATCTTGAAGACAAGGCTCCAAACAGTGATTTCAGCCACATCAGCTTATTAGAAAATGAGAAACTTTTAACACTGACAAACCTGGGAGATACCTCTGGTACTATAGAATGGCTGTTTTCTGCCTTTCCTTTGCCACTTGACTTTTTGTCTGTACTGTAGTATTCATTAGACTTTGGCAGGTTATTTTCCCCCTTGTCTTTTCCTTCTCCCTTTAACAAGGCTCTGTTCACGATCTGAGTGGCAGGGTTTATTTTTAATTTTTAATTTCTTTTGAGACAGGGTCTCACTGTGGAGGCTGGTCTAGAATTCCATAGGTAGATCAGGCTGTTCATAAATTCACCACCGATCTGCCTGCCTCTGCCTCCTAAGTGTTGGCATTAAAGCTACCATACCCAACATTATTTTTATTTTTATTTAATTTTTGACTGAAAAGGTCTTGTTTTATAGCTCACACTATCTTTGAGCTCTTGATCTTTCTGCTTCACAGAAAACTATCCGTCGATCTCTCTTTTTCTCTCTCTTGATCTCTTGCTCTCTTACTTTCTCTCTTTGCCTTCTTGTTTTTTTCTTTTCTTCTGTGGTCTTGGGTCTTAAATGCTGGACCTCCCCTACATGTTAGACAGATACTCTGCCACTGAATTATATCCTAAACCCCAATGTCTCCGCTTTCTTTTTTGAGATAGACTCACGTAGCTATAACTGTCCTGAAACTTGCTCTATAGACTGGGGTGGCCTCGAGTTTGCTATCATTTTTTTTGTTCCTGCCTCCTAAATGTTAGGAACTTATAGGTATACACTAGCTCACTTGGCTTTATGATAGTTTCTTATTCTAAGCATAAAAACAGCTACCTAGTTGGTATGTCGTCCACTGCCTTGTTTGTTTTATCAGCCTTTGTGATTAAACATTATGTGTAAATTCAGTTGCTCCTCAAAAACCTATTGTGTTTTTCATTCTACTTTATCAATAGATGATGATATTAATGATGAAGAATTTTATGATGATCATCTAGAAGCATATTTTGAACAACTGGCTGTTCCAGGGATGTTATATGAAGCAGGACAGGAGTCACCAGAAAATGTTTTCAAGTTACCTGTAAGTGATTTCAGTCAAGTACATCTAGTCTTTCTTGTTTTTTTTTTTTTTTTTTTTTGTTCAGCATTGTAAATTACTGTCTGTCTTGTTAGTTTTTTTTTTTTATGTTGCTGTTTTGTTTTGAGGTCTAGTTTTATGTAGACTATGCTGGCTTCCAACATCACTGTGGAGCTGAGGATGACCTTGAACATCTCATCCATCCACCTCTAACCTTCCAGTTGCTAGGATTAGAATTGTGCGCTACTACACCTGGTTAATTTCATGTTAACATTAAACTTAAGCCTGTGGTTTTCTGTGGACTTAAAATTGATGAAAAGTTTGATTTTTCTCTGCCTCGTTTCTCTTATTTTTCAATCAACCAAGAAAGTAAAAAGGAAGTTAAGAATTCCAGTACTTGGGAAGCTGATTTAGAAAGATTAGGATTTCAAAGTCAGCCTGGGTTACATGCAAGAAGGCAAGAAAATAAAGAAATAGTAATCAGTGGACATCCTTTTTTTGCATTGAGCAGTTAACATCTTGTTGCCATAGCATTTTTTCTCCCTCTGAATCATTTGAAAATAAATTGCATATGATTTGTGACTATACACTAGAATTTATCACCAATGACTAAGAGGTATTTCCCCACATAATCACAATGCTATTAATCTTTCTTAGATGCAGTAGTTTAAAATTAAAATATTTTGTGTATGGGTGTTTTGCCTACATGTATGTATGTCTTTGGATTATTTGCATGCCTGGTACCCTCAGAGGCTAGAATAGGGTGTCAGATCCCTTGGGACTGTGGTTGCAGATGATTATGAGCCACTATGTGGGTTCTAGAGCCAAACACAAATTCTTTAGAATACAGTCAGTGGTCTCTGTAATTGGATATTTCCTGTCCCTACTGCTTGGTCCCAAATAACTTGGAGGCTTAATATTACTTGTAAATGCTTGGCTGATAGCTCAGGCTTGTTACTAGCTAACTCTTATATTTGGAGCAACCAATTTATTTCTTTTTTTTAAAGAAAATAATTTATGTAATTTTATTTTATGTGTATTGATGTGAAGATACCGGGTCCCCTGGAGCTGGAATTGCAGACAGTTGTTAGCTGCCATGTGGGTGCTGGGAATTGAACCTGGGTTCTCTGGAAGAACAGCCTATGCTCTTAACTGCTCAGCCATCTCTCCATTCCAAATTAACCCATTTCTATTAATATGTATATTACATGCGGCTCATTTCTACATGTCCTCTCCCTGACTCTGCCTTCCTTTTCCCCATCATTCTCAGTTTGATTTTCCTGCCTAACTTCCTGCCCAGCTACTGGCCTGCCATTTTTTCACATCAGTTCTTAACCATTCTCCAGTGCCTGATACATTATTTTTGATTAATGTCCATATTCAAACTTGCCCCGTTATCTCTAAAATATTCTTTATTTTTCACTGTTTATGATTCATAATTTAATCAAAGGTTATATGGCCAGTAGTTGTTGGTTTTTTATAGTAACTTGCAATTCTTTTTTTTTTTTGGTTTTTCGAGACAGGGTTTCTCTGTGGCTTTGGAGCCTGTCCTGGAACTAGCTCTGTAGACCAGGCTGGTCTCGAACTCACAGAGATCCGCCTACCTCTGCCTCCCGAGTGCTGGGATTAAAGGCGTGCGCCACCATCGCCCGGCTTTGCAATTCTTTTATACATAAAGCAGTTTATAAAATTTAGGCTCTTTGTTTTGTAGAATGACCCATAATCTGGAAACTTCTGATTACTGTTTCCCCTGATTAGAATAGGTTAAGCATTTGACAAGAATTCTAGTGATGCATTTTTCTCAGGATGAGTTGATTGACATATGTGGTGCTGTGCACTCACTCCTTCACAAGGTAGATGCAGCTGCATTTTCTACTGTTTTTGTGTTTGATGATGTCATTGTTGGTCATATATGTCTGGATGCAGATGCAATTTTTTATGATTAAATCATCTGTGCGATGACATCCTGTCCCCAGCAAGTCTTGATGAACTGGTGGTAGTTTAATTGCTAAAGCCTTTTGGAATAAAGTATTAATTACACTAGTGCTTGGCATTTTTTTCCCTTATTTTTCCTTATTTTCTAACTGCATCCTTTAGTAAAGCAGAATTCTGTTCTCAATATTTTCTTCAAAATGTTCTTTTTTAATTTAAAAGAGGATATTTTCTTAACAGGCAAATGGAAACAATATCTTAAACTGTGAGTTCCAATTAGAAAATAACAGCTCTCTGGTTTCCCATGGTACATATACTTCAGGAAGTTCTGGAACAACTCACAGAGACTCTGAGGAAGGTCGTGGTTGTCTTCTGGGGACCAGTAAGTGTTGAAGTATGATTTGTTTGAGGCAAGGTTTTATATAGTAACCTAGGCTGGCCTGGATCTTACTGTGTATTCCAGATGGACTTTAGCTTATTGCAGTCTTGCAGCCTTAGCCTACTGATTACTGAAATTTCAGGCGTGAGCTATTCTTTCTGGATCTTTGTTCTCAAATTTGGGTTTGAGTTTATCTTTTTATAAAAAAAAAAAATCGTTGTTATGATTTGTTATCAGATAACTTTTATTTTCCCTTCAAATCTTCAGCCTAAAAACTTTGAGAGGAGTTTTTTAATACCTGAGCAGAAGGTCAGCCACCTTCTACACAAGAAATATTTTGGTACTGCTAGAAATACAGTAGTATGTTCTTGGATTGGCCATTTTAAATGGTTGCATGCTGTTCAGACATTTGAGAATCAGAAATCATCTTTCTAATTTACTAAATTTGTCATATAAATACTAAGTATTAAGTTAAAAAGAATTATTGCATTAGACTTCCTAAACTTTGACATTGTTCCATTTAACTTTTTTCTTTATTTTTAGGTGGCTATGCAGGTATTGTAGATAATATAAAGCAGGTAGATAATGTGTTGCCAGTTTATTCTTATACCTGGAGAACTGAGGAGGGGGCACCCAGTTTGATGGATGTTGTTCCAGATCAAAGTAGAGTAAGTTAATGAGCATTTTATTTCAACTTCTAAGGAGTCTTTCATGCTTGTAAGATATTAAACTTTCAAAACAAACTATCATTGTTAGCCTCTGAAAAATACAGAAAAATACAAAAATTACTACTTATATGATTTGTGTTTGATTGAATGTATTTTTGGTATTGCTAAAATAAGCAATTATATACATTTTCTTAGATTTAAACATCTGATGTCATGCATGTAGGTGATTTATAAAGTACTTTAATCTAATCAGGTGTGGTGGTCTGTGCATCGAATTCCAGCACTGGGGTGGAGGCAAAAGAGTTTAAACTTCAAGGTCAACTAAGCTATATAGCTGAGTTCATACCAGTCTGGGATACTCGGGAACCTGTCTCGGAACAAATAAGAAAAAAAAAAAAAAAAAACCAACCAACCAAACAAACAAACAAAAAAACACTACCAAAACAATCATTATTTTTTACTTTGCTCAAGCATGTTTCCTTTTCTTGTGTTAGACCTTTCTCTTTGTTCTGATGCCACCTGGTTTTTCCTGTCCTGAATCGTTGTAGCCATTTCTGACTCCTACCTTTTTGTGTGGATCTCGTTTTTAGTCCTGGGTGTCAGTCTAGCTTAGCTCCCCTGCTGCCTTCCCTCACTTGACTGAGATAGTCTTTACAGTCTAAGTCTTGGCCTGGGAGGAGCAGCTGATGAAAGGAGGGATTGTTTTGGACAGTGAGTGGTTTTAGGAGATGCAGTCCATTGCTGGAAGACTTTTGCTTGTTTGTTTTCAAGATCTATAGTCCTGGCTGTTCTGGAAGTCTCTCAGTAGACCAACTGGCCTTGAACTCAGAGATCCACCTGCTAAAACCCCTGAATCTTGAGTACTTTCGTCCTGGGTTTTTAAACCTTCTTTGTTTGAGACTTTCAGATAGTGTATTGGCAAGATAATATGTCCTTTAAAGAGACAGAAAAGCTTTTGGATTCTACTAGAGCTAGCGTCAGCATTGGACCCAGTTGATGAGGCCCAGTAGTATCTGTCAGTCCATGAACATCCCCTCCTCTTTTTTTTTAAATTACAATAACTGAGTTGAGAACACTCAGATTAGTATCTATAATGCATCTGCTGATAGACTTGAGCATAACCACATTTTTAATTTTGGTTTTGGTAAATTGCTTAACTTTGGCTCATACATAGTTCAGGATATACTGAGTACTGTATAGACTGTTTACTAATATAATAAGCATGTTTTAGCAGTTGCACTGCTTTCTCCATTAAGTGTTAAAATGAGTGTGAAAAACAGAACTTACTGTTGTTTCCTTAATAATTTTTTAAAGGAATGTGCAGGAGAGGCTGTTCTGGGGAAAGAGCTGCGCAATGTGGATGAGACACTCAGCCCTCATGCCCGAGAGGCCATTCTGGGGGAGAAGCCGTGCACTGTGGATGAGACACCCAGCCCTCATGCCCGAGAGGCCGTTCTGGGGGAGAAGCCGTGCACTGTGGATGAGACACCCAGCCTTCATGCCCGAGAGGCTGTTCTTGGGGAGAAGCCGTGCACTGTGGATGAGACACCCAGTCCTCATGCCCGAGAGGCTGTTCTGGGGGAGAAGCCGTGCACTGTGGATGAGACACCCAGCCCTCATGCCCGAGAGGCTGTTCTGGGGGAGAAGCCGTGCACTGTGGATGAGACACCCAGTCCTCCTTATCGTCACAGTACAGGTGGCTTTGACCTGGCTGACTCCAGAAAACGGGATTCAGAGTCTCCTCATCAAAACAAGCATTTGGCTTCAAATTTAGAAACAGCTTTGAATGTGGATAGATGCTTAAACACAGAGACTCCTTCAGTGTTCATTCAGAAAGGTGGGAGTGTTTTATCTTTGAAGACTAATGGAGACGATGGAATTAATTCTCCTGACACTCTGTGGTCACCAACTTGTGAAAGGAGAGCATGTGAATTTTATGAGTCTGTTACAAAGCCTAATGACCGTAAGTGAACTATTTCATCAAAAATAGAATTTAAGAAGTGTATAAGATGTTTATATATTTAGAATAGACTGATCTTCCATGTAGAACTCTGGAACATTTTAATATTTTCATGGATTTTAAAAATATTACCTAAGAGAAGTTATTCCTTAACTTTGTTTTTCCACGATACGGTTTCTCTGTGTAGCATTGGAGCCTGTCCTGGTACTCGCTGAGACCAGGCCGGCCTCGAACTCAGAGATTTGCCTGCCTCTGCCTCCCAAGTGCTGGCATTAAAGGTGCGTGCCACCACTGCCTGGCTCTTTAACATTAATATTATTATTATTTCCTACAGTACGTTCCAACTGCAGCCTTCCCTTCCTCCACTTCTCCCAGTCCTGTTCCCCTTCCTCCCTATTTCCTCTTCCCTAGATTTACTGCTCCTCCATTTCCCTTTAGAAAAGAGCAGGCCTCCCAAGGACACCAATATACAATAAGATATAACAATGTACGGCATAACAGTCTACAATAAGACTAAGCACAAACCCTCATCACAGCTGGACGAGGTAACCCAGTAGGAGGAAAAGGGTCCCTAGAGCGGGCAAAATAGTCAGAGACATCTCCACTGCTCTTCTTAGGAATCCCACAAAACCCAGGTTCAACAGCCATTTAATACATCCTGGTCACATTCCTCCCCACCCAGTCCTCATCTCATTGATGTCTTTTGTATGTTTGTTTTTGCTTTGTGTCCCATGTAGTTTAACTAGAGCCAGGGTACATTTTCCTTTTCCCTTCAAGACGGGCTTTCTCAGGGTTTTTTCCCTAGCTGTCCTGGAACTCACTTTGTAGACCAGGTTGGCCTCGAACTCAGTGCTGGGATTAAAGGCGTGTGCCACTACCACCTCGTTAGTGTGTTAGTTCTCTTGGTAAGACAGGACCCTATGAGTTCCTCCTCAGGTTATTAGGGATTTTAAAGATTTTTAAAATAATACTACTATTGCATGATTGTTGCTCAGAAATAATAATGTTAAACAGACATCTAGTGCAAATATACTTTTTTAAAAAAATGATTTTATTATGTATACAGTGTTCTGCCTACATGCCAGAAAAGGGCACCCGATCTCATTATAGATGATTGTGAACTACCATGTGGTTGCTGGAAACTGAACTCAGGACCTCTGGATGAGCTGCCAGTGCCCTTAACCACTGAGCCATCTCTCCAGCCCCAAAAATGTACTTTTCTGAGTCTTTTTTCCTATTATGTCGCATCCTCCATTATAGACTTTTGGGTAAGCTTCGCTTGTTGCCATCAAAAAGATATTTTTCTTTTTTGGAAATGGATTTTCTTTTTTCTACCCCATTTGAACAGACTTCAGCACAATTGTTAAGTATGTTAATTGTTACACGCATCATTCAATGGTTTTGGAATTTACTTTTTTAGAAGCAGATCTCTCACAGAACATAGTCTACCAAAATGAGGATGGCAAATGGGTCACTGACCTTGCCTACTACACATCTTTTACTGATCAACAAGATTTACAGATGTCTCCAAATAATGAAACGAATGAAGACTTCAGATCTGGTAGTAAGTATGTGGACAACCAAGTTTATTGTGCCAGATTCATGGTTTATGATGATGTTTTGAGACTAGTCAGCTTGTATTGGTCAGTCATATAAAGTTCCTTCTGAATTATAATTTTTGCATTCTGGAAATTCTTTAATGCAAAGGATATTGAAAGCAGTTACAAGGCTTGGTGGAAAGAAACAAAGGATGCGGTTTTACGTTACTCCTGTCTGTTGTTCTAACAAGTAAACATTTAGGGGAAAGACACGACTGCTTTAGTGTTTAACCAGTGAAAAATTCAGGTGACAAATGAGATTATTGTCTTAGATTAGTTAATAGTTAGGTTTATGTTTTTCTAAAAATACGAAATTCTTCTTCCTTAATGTTCATGGCTGATTTTTGAGAAGCAGAAAAGGCAACACTAGAGTATTGGAGATAATTAATTGAGAAATCCCTTAGGAAAAGCATTTTGAAATAAGGAGAATTTTGAGGTGTCAATCCAATACTTTTTATTTTTTTATTTTAATTTTTATTTTATTTTTTAAAGATTTATTTATTTATGCAACATTCTGCCTCGATGTATGCCCGCACGTAAGAACATGGCGCCAGATCTCAGTACAGATGGTTGTGAGCCACCATGTGGTTGCTGGGAATTGAACTCAGGACCTCTGGAAAGAGCATCCAGTGCTCTTAACCTCTGAGCCATCTCACCAGCCCAATCCAATACTTTTTAAACACTGTGCAGTGGTTAACTCATATAAACAAATTAAGGTTCTTCTGTGTTTTCTTTCTATGGGCTGAGTTTCCTACTTGCCTTTTCTTGACTGAGATTTGGTTGGTTGATGCTTTCACATTTTACTATAGTGTTTTTAGCTTCTTTTGAGTTGTAGGTCCACAGAAACGTGTCTGTGTAGATTGTACTATTTTGCATTTAATTTTGGGGGCTTTGTTGTTCTTTTGATGTTCAGTCATAGGTCCTCTGTTATGGTGATTACTTCAGCAGACACATACCCAGTATCATTCTGGCAACAGGAATCCTGAACTGTGTTTGGCTCTTTGGTTTTCCTTACTAGATGTAGAACATACTTAATATAATTATATAGTCATGAGAATGGAAGTTTTGGATACTTAAAAAAATTGTATTTCAGAACTAGAGAGTTGGCCAGTGGATAGAAGTGCTTGCTGTGCCAGCGTGAGGGCCTGAGTTCTGATTCCTAGTATTCATGTAAAAACCGGGGTTGGAAGGTGGTAGGTGGAATCGACTTCTGGCCTCCATACCAGACCAGATACCTGCAGAGGTGCAAACCCCCACACGTATGTGCACCTATTCCGATAATAAAGTGTTTCCTTAGTATTTCATTTCCTTAATTTTTTGGTGTGTTAATATAATATAATTATGTGAACTTGTTCTTTTTTAAGCTGAAGCATTGGATTTAATTGCAAAAGATGAAGAAGAATTCAATAAAGAACATCCCTTTATACAGGTTTGCTATTACTTGTTCTAACCTAGGTTTAATTTTTTTTTCTGGTTTTAATTTAAATTTAGATCAAAAAATCTCCTACCCCAGCAGTTACTATAGAGTTACTTAACTTTTTTTTTTTCACTTTATGGCAACTTTTACTTTTTTGTTCTAAACTACTAGTTGAAAACTGATAATAGTAAAATATATCTTTGGAGGGGAGTGTAGGCTCCTGGCATAGCACTTACTTGGTATGTGAAACCCTGTACTGCATTTCCAGTGCTGTATATAACAGGACTAACAGTAAAACAGTGACTATATTTTTATTTTAAAAAAGGTTTGCATCTATTTATTCTGTGTGTGTCTGTGGTAGGAGTACTCAGGGCCAGCATGTGTGTACATGACACATGTGTGGAGTCAGAGGACAGCCTTGGGATGGTTTTCTCCTTCCACCATGTGTCCTGGTGATCAAGTTCAACGTCTCAGGCTACTAGCCTAATGTTTTCAAAAAGAATCTTTTAAAAAATTATCTTTAGGGGGCTGGAGAGATGGCTCAATGGTTAAGAGCATTGCCTGCTCTTCCCAAGGTCCTGAGTTCAATTCCCGGCAACCACATGGTGGCTCACAACCATCTGTAATGAGGTCTGGTGCCCTCTTCTGGCCTGCAGACATACACACAGACAGAATATTGTATACATAATAAATAAATATTAAAAAAATAAAAATCATCCATAGTCAGTTTAAAAAAAGATAAAAAATTACCTTTAATTACGTGTATGTATGTTTAAGTAGCTACATTTGAGTACAGGTAGCTGCAGAGGCCACAGGTATCAGATTTTGTGGAGCTATAATTGCAGGCAACTATGAGCCACCAGATGTGAGTGCTGGGAGTGGTTTTGGGGTCCTCTGGAGGAATAGTGCACACTCTTAACCACTTACCAATTTCTTTAGCCCCTAAACTTAACTTTAATTTACTTAACATTTACTTAACATCAAAAGTTTTCATGGATACCTCTGTGCTTTTTAAAAATACATTTTATGCATGGTAATTCTCTTTATGCTTAGTAAAGATGTGCATATTCTAACTTGTATCAGTTAGTATTTGATTGAGATAGTGCATATTGCAACATGGATACAAAACTGAGGTATTCTATAGACTTTAGTAGCTGCTCATCCTTATGTTTTATCTAAATGCTTTGGGCCACATTTTGAAAAAAAAATAATTTTTAAGTTTTCTTAGTTCTTTTATTTTTAGCTTTACACATTAGAAGAATAGGGAAGAACCTTGTTGAGGGTAAAAAATGGAATAATAACTTTTTTTTTAGGACGAAAAAATAGATGTTCAGAATACTTCAGCTGCACTTGATGCATCCTGGGTAGCTACAGTTAATTACCATTTGTTGAGAAAATCACTTGGCACGTCAGATTTCGACAAAGACGATGGCAGTTACCTACGTTTGTCACTAGGAGAGTTCTTCGCACAAAGATCAGAAGCTCTTGGTTGCCTTGGTGGTGATAGCAGTGTGAAAAGAGTGAGTATGCAATGTGTTCAAGGACAAGTCACCCGTGTCAGTGTGCGGCTGGACACGGGACATAGGAACACTTGCTGGGAATCAGGACCAGATGGCCACATGTGGTCAACTTCTGGTGAGGGTCCTGTGCCATTGTAGCAGCTTGTAATAAAGGTGTGTGTGTGTGTGTGTGTGTGTGTGTGTGTGTGTGTGTATGTGAGGGGGGGAATATGTGTGTAAGAGAAAGCAAAGAGAACCAAACTTAATTTAGATAAACCACTTTTGCCTTAACTTGGTCACTTTTCTGAAGCTACCCAATGTCTTCATGAGGGCACATTCCTTTTAGACGAAAAGCCTCTGAAAGACCCCACCACTTCACAATACCATGACATTGAGGACCAAACCTCTGTATCATTTTTGGTGGGGGGACCATAGTACCAGGTTTTTTACTTTGAATGTTATGATGGCATAGTTAGAGCATTGCAACTGTAAGACTAGGAACAGACTAGGAACTTCCTAGAATAGTAGTTAAAAGCTTCCATTTTATAATCAGTCAGACCTGACTTCAGTTCTGGTTTTTGCCTTACTAAGTCTATGACACTGAACTGTGTTCTGTGCCTCAATTTCTCCATTTCTAAAGTGTAGTGCTGTTTCATAGGATGTGTAAGATTATACTGTGTTGCTACATATGAAGCAGTTATCACTTGGTCTTGTTAGATGGTTGATTGGTAGGTAGATTTCTAGGATTCATTTATTTCACCATCTTACAAAGATGTTTTCAAATGTTTTGATTTTAAAAAATGTGGTAGGTACAGAGAATTTTGGATTGAAAGCAGTTCATATAGAGGTAGGTACTATAAAGAATAAGAGTAGAAAGCTGCTTCATTGTGCTGTTCAGAATGGTGGCGCACGCCTTTAATCCCAGCACTCGGGAGGCAGAGGCAGGCGGATCTCTGTGAGTTCGAGACCAGCCTGATCTACAGAGCTAGTTCCAGGACAGGCTCCAAAGCCACAGAGAAACCCTGTCTCGAAAAACCAAAAAAAAAAAAAAAAAAAAAATGAATAATGTCTAAGAGGATGACATTGAACTGCATCAAATGGTGAAAAACAGGCAGCCCTCCAGAGATGTAGAGAACCAGTGTTACTGGTAAAGGAAAACCATTTGTGTGAGGCCCAGAGGCAGGTCTCAGAATGGTCCATCAAAGGCAGATAGGACTGGTGTGAGGGGCCAGGGTGAAGGTAGGCATGGTAGGATATTAAGAAATTATAAGTCTTTTAAGTCCAGCACTGGGGAGACTGAGGGTCCCAAATTGAAAGCTAAAGTGAGCTGAGCCATATGAAATTATCTTTAAAAAGTAAATAAATAACAAGGATCTGATCATTCGGGCTTTGCTGTGGGGGTTGGTGGTGTCTCAGATGAACTTCAGGAAGGACTAGGAGGCAGAGAATATCTAGGTCATGTTGTCTAGGTTCAGTTCCATATTGTCACTACCTTTGCCAGAGGCTTGTATGGGGGAAAGCCCTAAAACACAGGAGGAATAGGAGTAGACATAGGCTTAGTAAGGGGGAAGAGAGGTGGTGAAGGCTGGGGACAAGTATGACCTATTATAACATGAAAAGTGCAAGGATTCAAAATTTATTCTACATAGGGAATTTGAGTTACAATAGAATTTTTAAAATTTTACATTGTAGGTGTTTGTTAAAGCTGACTTCACTAAGGGTAAGATGGTAGTAAAATGACTAAGATCCATTTAAAGAAAGAAGGTTTAGAGTCATGGTTTCCCTCCATATTGTGTCTGCACTTTACATCATGCAGGAGTATGGCAGAGGAAACTACCAAAAAGGAAAGGAGAGTTAAATAGGAGAGCAGAGAGGGCAGAGGAGGGAGGGAGAAACAAGGAAGGAAGTGACTGGGGTCCCACTGTTGCCTGTAAACAAAGGCAGAGCTTTTCTTTTATCATGACTGCTCAATCCCAAATAATCACACAAAAGCTTATGTTAATTACAGAATGTTTGGCCTACAGCTCAGGCTAATTATTAACTAGCTCATTAACCCTATTATATTAATCTACATTTGCCACTTGTCTTCAAGGCCCTCTAGCCATCTTGTTCCTCGGGCAACCGCCTTGTGCCTCCCTTGACTCCGCCTCATTTCCTTCCCGTATTTCCAGTTTGGCTTTCCTGCCTAGCCTTACTCTGCCTTGCTATAGGCCAAATCGGCTTTTATTATCAACCAGTGAGAGCAACATGTATTCACAGTGTACAGAAGGATTATGCCACAGCAATCCTTTTCAAGGGAATGCACTTAACAGTACAACTGTCTTCTACTAGGAACCACCTCCTAAAGATTCCATCAGCTTTCATCAGTGACACAGGCTAGTCACTAGGTCCTTAGGATATTGGCCTTTGGGGGGCAAGCCAGATTCAGACTGTGGCACAGTATAATGAAATCACAATTTCTTTTTTTTTTTAATTATATTTATTTATTTATTTATTTATTTATTAAAGATTTCTGTCTCTTCCCCGCCACCTCCTCCCATTTCCCTCCCCCTACCCCAATCAAGTCCCCCTCCCTTGTCAGCCCAAAGAGCAATCAGGGTTCCCTGCCCTGTGGGAAGCCCAAGGAACACCCACGTCCATCCAGGTCTAGTAAGGTGAGCATCCAAACTGCCTAGGCTCCCACAAAGCCAGTACGTGCAGTAGGATCAGAAACCCATTGCCATTGTTCTTGAGTTCTCAGTATCCTCATTGTCCACTATGTTCAGCGAGTCTGGTTTTATCCCAGGCTTTTTCAGACCCAGGCCAGCTGGCCTTGGTGAGTTCCCAATAGAACATCCCCATTGTCTCAGTGTGTGGGTGTACCCCTCGCGGTCCTGAGTTCCTTGCTCGTGCTCTCTCTCCTTCTCCTGATTTGGACCTTGAGATTTCTGTTTGGTGCTCCAATGTGGGTCTCTGTCTGTCTCCTTTCCTCGCCTGATGAAGGTTAATATTCAGGAGGATGCCAATTTCTTAAACTTGAGTAGAACATTTATTTATTTACATATATGAGTATTTTTACTTTTTGTATGTATGTGCACAGTGTGCATGCATGGTGCTTGTGCAAGTTAGAAGAGGAAGTTAGATCCCCTGGAACTGAAATTAAAGATGGTTGTGAGCCTTCTGGTGAGTACTGTAAATTGAACCTGGCTCCTCTGGAAGAACAATCAGTTCTCTTAACCATTGAGCCATCTCTCCAGCCCCCAAATTAATTTTTAGAAGTTATACCTGTGTCTGTATGGATTTTTACACATCCATATAATGCTTGCAGAGGCTAACGAGGGTGTTGGAGACCCTGGAGCTAGAGTTAGAGGCACTTGTGAGCTGCCTGATAAGGATGCTGGGAACTGAACCTAGGTCCTAGTACACACTCTTAACTACCGAGCTATTTCTCCAGCCCTTAGAGCCTAAGTATGAAACCATTCTTTATTTTATTTTATTTTTGATTTTTTAAGACAGCATCTCTCTTTAGCGCTGCTGTCCCAGAACTAACTTTGTAACTCAGGCTTTCCTTGAACTCACAGAGATCTGCCTGCTTCTGCCTCCCAAGTACTGGGAAACCATGCTTTTGAACTATCTTATCAATGCAGTGAATTAAAAAATAAAATACATGAAAGAGTAGATTGGTGTTTTTGAGATTATGGAAGAAATAAAAATAACCATTCTTTTTTGCTTTATCTTGTTTTGAAGCAGCGTCTCACTGTGAGGCCCAGTCTGGCCTTGAACTTGTAGTTTTCTTATCTCACTCTTTGTTCAGATGCAGTTGTGTGCCATTATCCTTGACTCTGAACTCTTTTAATATAGGGGATGTAGTTAGCCCTGGCTAACCTGAAATTTGTAGACCAAACTAGGCTTGAAATCAGACACCTGTCATGTCTCTTCCTCCTAAGTGTTGGGATTATAAGCATGTACCACCACGCATAGCTTTCTGAACTCCTTTCTTAACAGATGAACAAAGCATTAGATATTAAGAAAAGAGTCTGACTCAGAACTTTTATTTTGGTATTATGAAGTTTCACATATTCAATATACTGGGTTAATGGAAGAAACTTCCAAATGAATATCAATCAGAAACTGAATTCATATTTTAGATCTGTGATATGAAAGTTTTGTAAGAAAAGTACAAATTCAGTTCTCTTTAACAAGGTCCTTGAGCCTATGTTTTTCTAAAACTTGTATGAAAGTGGCAGTATGCTTAATTTCAAGGCATATTTTCTTTCTTTTTTTTTTTTTAAATATATTTATTTATTGTGTATATAATATTCTGTCTGTGTGCATGTCTGCAGGCCAGAAGAGGGCACCAGACCTCTTTAAAGATGGTTGTAAGCCACCATGTGGTTGCTGGGAATTGAACTCAGGACCTTTGGAAGAGCAGGCAATGCTCTTAACCACTGAGCCATCTCTCCAGCCCAAGGCATATTTTCTGCAGGTTAATCTATAGAGCAAAAAAATATGCTATGTTTAAGTCCTACAGCATTTTGCTGCCCCCCCCCCCCCATTCAGAACAGTGCTTAATAAATAAATAGTGACGGTCCTGAGTGTTACTTGTAAATTGCTTGTGTTTTTAGGCCAGTTACAGTGGTTAAGTGATAGCTTGGCCTGAACAAACAGAAGGTTTTGTCTGAAGCGTCTCCTCCTCTCCCCTGTTGGCTGTGGAACCCAGGTCTTTCCCTGGGCACGGCAGGTACTGCCATGGAGAACCACCTCAAAGGTTCGATCTGGGCTTGAAGTTAAATGGCAAGAGTAGATTTGTTGAATCATTTTGATGTTTTAGTAGTATTAGATAAAGTAATCTAGAGCTTTTCAAAGTGGTTGGAAATTAAAGATTAATTTGTGTCTAATTATTTTTGCAGCCATCATTTGGTTATTTTATTAGATCACCAGAGGAGAGAGAACCTTTTGCGTTACTAAAACCGGATGTCTCAAGAAGTAATTTGGAAAAAGAAGTGACTCATCTTCACCAAGGTTTATTTTCAGGTAGTGGGTTAAACGAAAGACTTTAAGGAACTGTTATCTTAACTCGTAATCTGTGAATCATGTGATCATAGTCTGTATGAAGATGTATACACTGCTTTGTGACTTTTCAACATTGAGTGTAGATTTGTTGTTGTTGTTTTTTTTTATTATTATTTGTTTTCTGGTTTTTCGAGACAAGGTTTCTCTGTGTAACAGTCTTGGCTGACCTGGAACTTGTTTTGTAGACCAGGCTGGCCAGAGAACCTCCTGCCTCTGCCTCCTGAGTGCTGGGATTGAAGGTGTGCGTTACCACCTCCCACCATAGATTTGATTTTTATAGAACCTCACATTTTCTATTCAACTGAAAGTGGGGAAGACAGCCCAAATCCACCTAGATTTTGTATAATCTACTATAGCAAATGAAAATAATTTCAAATGATCTAGTTAAATTTGGCTTATTAAATTATTACTGTTAAGGAATAATAGAAATTATATTCATCGTTTTTTGTTTGTTTTTCGAGACAAGGTTTCTCTGTGCTTTGGAGCCTGTCTTGGAACTCAATTCTGTTTACCAGGCTGGCCTTGAACTCACAGAGATCTACTTGCCTCTGCCTCCTGAGTGCTGGAATTAAAGGTGTGCACCACTATTGCCTGGCCATTTAGAAAATTCTTTGAAATTTATAGTGTAATAGCCTGCATATAGCATAACATTCCTGTGATATCTATGGGAAAGGTTTTTTTTTTTAAATATACTGTGACTCATTTAGAGTCCTTTTTGTCTGAATTTGTTTCTTTATATTTATTATGTATACAATATTCTGTCTGTGTGTATGCCTGCAGGCCAGAAGAGGGCACCAGACCTCATTACAGATGGATATGAGGCACCATGTGGTTGCTGGGAATTGAACTCAGTACGTTTGGAAGAGCAGGCAATGCTCTTAACCGCTGAGCCATCTCTACAGCCTGGGAAAGGTTTTTATTTTGTTTTGTTTTTGTTTTTGTTTTTGTTTTAGATGGAGTTTCTTCGTGTAGCCCTGGCTAGCCCAGACTCACTCTGTAGACCAGGCTGGCCTTGAACTTGCAGGTCCTGAAGGTGTGTGTCACCACTTCTGGCTAATAGAAGGCTAACTTTAAGTTAACTTCTGTGGTTAGCTAAATTGAGCCATTCCTGTTTGATAACCCAATGTCTTTTGCTGCGAATATGATATTGTATAATATGTGCTCCATTCTTTTTTAAAATTTTCTTATTTTATGTTTATGTTGTTTTGTCTTATGTATGTCTGCATCATGTGCATGCGTAGTGCCTGTGGAGGCAGAAAATGGCATCAGATCCTCTAGAACTAGAGTTACAGACGGTTGTGAGCTGCCAAGTGTATGCTGAGGATTGGATCCGGGTCTTCTGGAAGGGCAGCCATCTCTACAACCCCAGGATGTGCTCCATTCTTAAATAGCCTGTATTCAAACACAGGACTTAGGATAAAGGGTCTATGTGTGTAGTTAGTTCTTTTTTTTAAAATTTTATTATTATTATTTTATTTATTTATTTTTTTTGGTTTTTTTTTTGAGAAAGGGTTTCTCTGTAGCTTTGGAGCCTGTCTTGGAACTAGGTCTTCTAGACCAGGCTGGCCTTGAACTCATAGAGATCTGCCTGCCTCTGCCTCCCAAGGGCTGGGATTAAAGGTGTGCGCCACCACCCGCCTGGCAGTTAATTCAATGTTTATCATTCTGAAGAAGTATATAATTTTGAAACCAGTTTTTGAAACCAAAGTATATTAAATTAGTTTATATGAATATTTGTAGGGGAGACTAAAATCCAGAGACTTCCTTCCATTCCCGGCCTTTGTCTAGATGTCTGTCATTGAAATAATCTTTCTGAAGACAACTTATGTTTGCAGTACAAAGATATTTTTCTTGACAATTAATCATTTTGACTGGTACTTCTTATCTCAGATTATTTATGAGAGGTAATATAGGCCTTTAAGTTGAATATTGTTTATTTCCTATAGGAAACTTAAATGAACAGTCCCAGGTGCAGCTCAGTCAAGGCTCACTTACACTGCAGGCTGAAGAACTACAGAGTCCTTCACAGGGGGATGAGGATGATGTGACACTGACGGCCAACGAGAGCAGCACAGAGGTAGCTCTGACTCTCCTACAGGACTCTCAGCGCCTTGATAGGGCTTCAGACCACTTGAGAAAAACCTGTGTCCTTATTTTCCTGGCTTCAGTCTTATTACAGTGTCCTTCAAATGAGAACATTTTAAAAATCAGTTTATAATGTACATATAGAAGAATATATAAAACAGTATTACTAGCCATTTGAGTAGCTCTGTAGTGGTACTTCTTTGTTTTAATTTGTATTTCTCTGATTGATTGCTAATGAAGTTAATACTTTTATACTTTAACTGATTTTACATAGTTTTTTATGTGACGTTCCATTCATTGGATTTCCTTATATATTTGGTAGGCTCCTTTGGCCAGCATGAAAGTTTCACCTGTCTTCTTCCATCTGTGACTTGCCCCCCGCCCCACCTTTTCCTCCAAGATAAAGTCTCACTGTATATTGCTAGTTAGTCCTGGATGATCTGTGTCATCCAGACTGGGCTCAAACTTGTGTCAGTTTTCCTGTCTCAGCCTCCTGAGTGCTGTGATTACATATAGGAGCTATCATGCTTGGTTTAGCTTTTTCATTCCTAATAGTATCTACTTTTTTAAAAATTAGTTCATGTTTTCTCTGTTTCACTAATGTGCTGTCTTTGTGGTAAATCAGATATACAAGATAATGTTTGCTTGATCTTCTTGATTATGTTATGTTACTTGTAAATATTGTTGCTTGATAGTAAGTCTTGGCATCTAAAAAGATTTCCATACTTTTTAAATATATCAAACAACTAACCCACCAACAACCTTGTACTTTTAGTGATATTACATATAATCTATAAAACAGAAAAATTAAAATCTCTAGAATACTGAATCTCAAAATACTTAATCTATAAACATGCTATATCTCTTCATATTTATTATAATTTTCCTCTACATTTTATGACTGGGCAGATTTTCCTTGTGGTTTGTTTTTGTAAAGTAGTTGAAACATTTTAAAAGCTCCCCCCCTCCCCGCCCCCTTTGGACAGTCTGGTTTCACTGTGCAGCCCTAGCTGTCCTAGAACTCACTATGTAGATCTAGATCAGGCTGGTCTTGAACTGTCTCAACCTCCCTAGTCCTGGGATTTAAAGATGTGTGGCGTTTTTTTTGTTATTGATTTTATTTAGAAAAGGACTCGTTATGTAGCTTAGACTGGCCTTGAGCTCCTGGTTTTTTTCCCTAACTTCTTGGGATGAATGTGTAGTTCACTGATTCTTTTTACTGAATTTTTGTCTTGTTTTCCTAATATGAACATTTATCTAGTATGAATTTTTCCAGAGAGCATCGTTTTTGCTGTAGCCAGTGTTTTGTCTTTTGTTTCATGTGTTGCTTCATCGTATTTTCATTATTGAGTGTCCTTCCTTCTTCGTATCAGGACTTTTATCTCTCCCTCTCCTGCCGATCTTCCTTCCCATTTGGCTGTGCTGGAAACTTAACACATATTTAGGCCAGCGTTCCTTGATATCCCTCATCCTGTGCAATGCATTTCTAATTCCTTAGGCTCATGAAAAAAATTTATCTTGCTCAGTTTTCAAGCATTTATGAGATTTTTTCCAAATTTTTAAAAAATTATTTTTATTATTTTATATTATTCACTATTTTTAATTATGTGTATGAGAGGGTAGGGACTGTGTGTATATATGAGTAGGTGCCTACCACTGGGCTTAAGTTGCTGGCAGTTGTGAACCACTTGGAATGGGTGTGGGGAACTGAACTCCGGTCCTTTGTCAGAACAGCACATGGTCTTATCTACTGAGCTGTCTTTGCAGATTTAATTTTTGTTTTTTATTTATTTATTTTTCTTTCCAGGATTTAAAATAATTGGTTTTAGGTTAATTGTTCTGTGTTTTCAATATTTTTGCTCTTAGTCATTTAAATTTTATCAAGACATATTAAATGGATTTGGATTTGTTTAGTTTTAAAAATGCAGTTTGTTTGCTTGAAGGGAACACCTGTCGTATAACTATTGCTTACTTTCATTTTTTTATTAATGTTTTTGTTTCATTGATGCGAGCTTTGTTAAATAAGAATGCTAAAGGTGGTTGCATCTTAGAGTTATTTTGCTATTCCTTCAGTTATTTAGGTTTTTTTTTAATTTTTTTTATTTTTTATTATTTATTTATCTTTATTTTATGTGCATTGGTGTGAAGGTGTCAGATCCCCTGGAACTGGATTTTCAGACAGTTGTGTACTGTCATGTGGGTGCTGGGATTTGAACCTGGGTCCTCTGGAAGAGCAGTCAGTGCTCTTAACCGCTGAGCCATTTCTCCAGCCCGTTATTTAGGTTTTAATATCATACACTATGACTGTATGTTTGTCTGTTACTCATTATGAGTCTGTTTTTGCTTTAAATTTTTTTGAGACAGGGTTTCTCTGTAGTTTTGGAGCCTGTCCTGGAACTAGCTCTTGTAGACCAGGCTGGTCTCGAACTCACAGAGATCCGCCTGCCTCTGCCTCCCGAGTGCTGGGATTAAAGGCGTGCGCCACCACCGCCCGGCTTGCTTTAAATTTTTGAGGCTATAGTTTTAGGTTCATATAAATCAAAATTGTCTAGCTAATCAGCTTTGACCATTGCACACATCTCCCTCTGTTCCTGTTGTGTCCCCCCCTCCCAGGTTGGTATCAACCAAATACCAACTTTTCCCCTTAGGGTTGTCATGCTTGCTGTGTTGTACCCACAACTTTTTGATAGTTAAAGATAATACATTTATTTATTTCTTTTCCCATGCATGTTTCTCAGAGTGTGTGTGTAAAGATGAGAGGACAAATTGCAGGAGTCAGTTCTCTCCTGCTATGTACCGTGTAGGTCTCCAGGCATTGAATTTAGGTCATCTTGGAGGCAATTGCCTTTACCCACTGAACCATCTTGCTGGCTCTTTACTTTTAATCTTCCCTTGTTCTTATTTTGGATGCTTCTCATTGAAGACTATAGAAAAAGATTTTTAAAAAAATCAATTTTGTAGCATTTGTTCCTTCCTTCTTTCCTTTTTTTTTTTTTTTGTTTTTTTGTTTTTTTGTTTTTCGAGACAGGGTTTCTCTGTAGCTTTTGGAGCCTGTCCTGGAACTAGCTCTTGTAGACCAGGCTGGTCTCGAGCTCACAGAGATGATCCTCCTGCCTCTGCCTCCTGCCTCTGCTGGGATTAAAGGCGTGCGCCACCACCGCCCGACCTTTGTACATTTCTTCAGTGCAATTCCTAGTCCATGACCATTTGAATCTTTTCACTTTCTTTGTTACTTGTTTCCTCTGATCTTTATTCTTTTTCTTTAGGTATTCCTTTGGGTTGTATGTGACTGTGTTTTATTTTTCTATTAATTTCCTACATGTTTTTCTATATTATTGATTATCCAAGAAATTATACCCTGTCTCCTTGATTTACTAATGTTTAATAAGATCTTCTTCTCTTCCTTTCTTTCTGTTTCTTTCCTTTCTTCCATCTTTCCTTCCTTCCTTACTTTACCTACCTCTCTTCTACCTCCCCTCCTTCCCTCCCTCTTTCCCTCCCTCCCTCCCCTCCCTCTCTTTCTCCCTCTTTATCTCCCTATGTGCTTACTTGTTTGTTTGAGACAGTGCCTATTGTAGCACAAACTGGCCTTGAACTCATGTGTAATTGAGAATAACTATATTCTTAATCTTCCTGCATATACCTGGGCATATGGGGTTCTTTTAAATATACTGTTGGCTTCCAATTGCTTTCGGCAGGAGGTTACCATTATGTATCCTGTTGTCACCAGAGGTGAATGTTTTAATATATGTTTATAGTTTTTACTGTTGGACCCATCTCAGTTTTATACCTGTGATTCCAATTATGTCTTACTGTGCCCAATTTATAAATTTAGGTATGCATAGGTATGTATGTTGCCTAGGAATAAGCATAGTGTGTGTGTATATATATGTGTACATATATCTATATATCGACAGATAGATAGTAGTTTGGTGTGCCATCTGTGCTTTCAGACATCCATTAGGAACATAATCCTTGGATAGGAGACTACACTAAATAAAGATTAAACAAATTTCTACTTGTTCTTGTAAGTAGAGTGAGTTTGTTTAATAAAAGTTTTTTATTTTTAGGACATTTTCTGCAGTAATAACAAACTTGAAGAACATAAAAGCATTCTATCTGGCAGTGGAGATTCTGTACTTAGAATAAGCACCATTGCTTCAGCCATTGCCGATGTGTCTGTGAGTACTGATCCTGCCCAGCTGGTTGCCATGATGAAGGCACTTAAAAATAAAAGAAGAGACAAGACTTTTCAGGATGACGATACACAAGAGGACTGTTCCACGTCTCATTTCTTAATTAATGATGTAGAAAAAAGTAACAGATTCAATGCATTTGATATGGAGAAATACCTTACAAAAACAGAAGTTAGTAGCTGTGAAGGTACATGGGAGCCCTTTTCAAGAGCAGGCACGTCTGACATTTGGGATTTATGTTTGCTCAAACAGCACACTGTTCAAGACATCAGTATGGCGAATGTTTGTGCTGCTAATGTGAGGCAATCCAAAGCAGATTCAGCAGCTGCTTTCTATGGTGAAAATACGGAGAGTGAGACTCAAGAGTCACTCAGAACACTCGCCTCTCCAGATTCGGGTCTTTCGAACGTGAGCGAGAATAGAAGCACAGTCACAGGGAGGAAGGCATGCTCCATTGACGAATTACCAGATGTGCAGACCGTTGAGAAAGCTATCTCAGTTTCCATTCCAACACCTGGTAGTTACTCATCAATAAGGAATCCCAGAGTACCATCCCTTTGCCTTTTAGAAAAGCATGAGGAAATACAAGATAATAGAGAACACCGAAGGAAAAAGGAGTGTGTCAGTGAGACAAGCAGCAGTGACAAGCACGTCACTTTTGAAGAAGATCGTATAGTCTTACCTAAAAGTGTTGGTAGGTATCAGTGATCGATCACATTTAAATTGTGTGGTTTTTGTTATTGTTTTCTGTTCTTATTGGAGAATATACCTTTCTGATAGATTTGACAATTTCCTCTCCTGAGAGTGGTGGATCTGGCTTTGAAGACCAGGGGCGATTCAGACTGTCTACTTCACCACTCAGTCATTCTTCGCCTAGTGAAATTTCTGGCAACTTATCAGGGTAAGTGCTTACTTAACTTTATTTCTGTTTATTTCTATTATTGAGAATTTCATGTAATGTGTTTTGATTAGGTATATCCCACCTTGATTTTTAAGTTTAAAAAACTGTAAAAAAATCATAAAAGAAAAAAATCATGTTTAGGTTTATCTTTTGTTTTCTGAGACAGGATTTCTCTATAGCACTGGCTATCCTGGCACTCTCTTTGTAGACCAGGCTGGCTTTGAATTCCGAGATCTGCCTGCTACTGCGTCACAAGTGCTGAGGATTAAGGTGTGTGCCACCATTGCCTGGCTAGGTTCATCTCTTAAAGGTGGTCCCTAAAATATCTTTTCAATTTCTTTACTTTTAATTTTTGAAATAACGTCTCTGTGCTTTGCCTTGATTTCAACAGAGATCTTCCTGCCTCTGTCTTCCCAGTGGTATTTCTTCATTGTTTCCCACACAATATTTTATATTGAGAAAGGGCCCATTCTCCTATTCAAGCCACTAAGCTTTGGCCAACAAGCAAGCCCTTTAGGTTCCTCCTCTCTTAGTCCCCAAGCTGGCATTATAGATACATACTGCTACAGCTGATGGATTTTTTTGTTTGCTTTTGTTGTTGCTTTTCTTTACATGGGTGCTGGGCATTCAAGCTTAGTTCCCCAGTACTACCTGGAAGCACTTTAATCACTGAACCATCTCCCAGATCCTATACTCTGCTTTTCTGTATTTGTTGGTTTTTTTTTTAAAAAACAACATGAAAAGTAATACTATTTCAGAATGCATATGAACCTGTTTTAGTTTCCTTTCTGTTGCTGTGTTAAAACACCATGACCAAAAGCAACTTAGGGGAGAAAAAAGTTTATTTCAGCTTGTACTTCCAGGTCACAGTCCGTCACTGAGGGACATCAGGGCGGGAACTCGAGGCAGGAACCTTGTGATTGCTGCTTGGATGTCTTGCTCGCTGACTGACAGTCGTGCTTAGCTAGTCCAAGCCTAGGGATGGTGTCACCCAAGACAGTCAAGTCAGTCCCCACAAACATGCCAGCAGTCCCGCCTGGTGGTTCTAGACTGTCAAGTTGACAGTTTAATGCTAACCAGGACAGGGACTTTCGTGGTTTATTCAGTCTTTCTAGTATTGCTTAGTGTATCTTTGTATTTTACTGTCTTCCAAGATTATTTTACTTCATGTGTAGGAATAACATATAGATGTAAGTGTTACCATGTGTGTTCCTGGTGCTTGAGGAGTCCAGAAGACATTGGATCCCCTGTGGAATTATAGGTAATTGTGAGTTGCCATGTGGGTGTTGGGAATTGAACCAAGGTCTGTAAGAACAGCCAGTGTTCTTAACCTCTGGGCCATCTCTCCAGCCCCATGTTTTGTTATTTTAATAACATCAAAATGAATAGTTTTTTTTTAAATTTTTAATTCTAAAAATGTTGTCTTTTCTGGCTTCATAAGAGATCATTTAAGTGTTTCTCTGTTGACTTAAATGAACAAATTTGAGTAGCTACTGAAATGACTAAAAATGTTATGGTTTAGAAAATAATGGATTTCAGAGCTAATCTACTAACTTTCCCCAAGCTGCCTTTTTTTTTTTTTTTAAGCTGTGTGAATTCAGGCATCATTTCTGAAAAAATATTTTTCCTCCTTCATTCTCTTCTACCCTTAGGAGGGAATGCTCATGATACATTTATGGAATAAATTCTTAACCTTGTGTTTGTGATTGTACTCACATTCATGAAGATGTATAAGCTTCATTGCCTGTTTACAGGTCAGAGGAAAACCTGTAGGAGTTGGTTTTCTCTTTCCACTTCTTGGGAATCAAACTCAGGCCATCAGGTCTGGCAGCAAGTACCTTTGCTTTCTGAACCATCTCAACAGCCCTCCCTAGGCTGTGGTTGTTCAGCTTGCTTCCCTTCCCAGATCTGGACTGGAGTCTCTGATATGGCTGCTGAAAAACAAAATGAGATAGAAGTAACACCAGTGTGTGTTTGTGGTAAATAGATGTGGGTTCCATAGCAAAGGCTCTGTCTTTTTTGCTTGCCTGCCTGCCTGCCTATCCATCCACCCGCCCACCCGTCCGTCCATCCATCCATCTAACTACCTATCTGTCTTTGTGTTGGCATTGGGTGTTTTGGCCAGGTTTTTGAGCATGATCCGACATTGCACCATATTCTTAGTCTTCATCCATTGAATTTTGTTTTAGTTAATATACTGTGAATTTCTTCCTAAGCCAGAGCATAGTATTCAGCAGCATGGTTTGGGGTTTTTGTTAGATGTTAGCAGTGCTAACAAACATTCTACCTTTGAACTATATCGTCAGCCCTAACAGCATGGTTTTTAGTAGTTAAAGAATTATGTTGTAAGCTTGTGCCATGCCTTAGTTCCTCTTGTATGGCATTTGAGCTTCCTACTTTATTACCAATAAACATAGCTTTTATGAAGTGTTATATATTTATCAATAATTTTTTTCTTTCTGGATGAATTTCTCAGATATAGACTATCTGAGTCAATGGGTGTTTTCTAGGTGTGTGTAATTATTCAGGCAAAAGTTGCTCACTTTACATTTTGATTAGTATTTTTTAAAAATGGTTTTATTAACTGCTATATATCAGGTATTCAATAAATTTTTTATTGAATGAATAACTAATTGTTATGTGTTTGTATATGCTATTTATTAATGAAAATGAGACAACTTTTTCTTTAATGGTAGCTTACCAGGTAGGTCATCAACAGGAATATAATTGATTATTTTAATTAAAGATGGAAAATTTGTGATTGAGTTACTTCAAGCTTATAGCTAGATAGTAGTGGTCATTTGCTAATACATATTCTAACATCATGCTTCTGTTTCTCTTTCAGGTATGCTCTGGACTCTCTTAATTTAGCTCATCACCAGAAGCCCCACTCAGAGTGTGAGTTGTCTGAGTTGGCATGTTCCCGTGCTGATATGAGCAGGCTGACTTATGTGTCTGAACAGGAAAACACCTATCCTGTCACAGCTGCTGCTGAAAGCTTAGAGGACCACAAGGTGGGTGTCACTTGGACTGTTTCTTTAGTAAGCCTTCAAGATCAAAAGTGTTAGTGACGTTTGACTCAAACTGGAATTCTGACCTGTTCAACTTCCATGTTGCTGTTCTGTATCTTTAGAGTGAATTAATGTATGTATATATTTATACTTAAGTCTTGGCATTGACTCTTGCTCACTTCAAAAAGAAGCATCTTTGACCAAGGAAGAGAGCAGCATTGATTGGCAGGTATAAACATAAATATTTAGGAGATACTTTGACAACACATGCTTTTAGCAAAACAATAGTAGTAGGTTCCCCTAGGTCCCATGACCTTCCTGGCCATGGGCTTTTGACCAGGTTTACAGTGTCTCAGGTATGAATTCCTTCCCATGGAGTAGCCCACAAATCCAGTCAGAAAGCAGTTGGTTACCCCAGTAATAGTCATGCCACTATTGCCCCAGTGAGCGATCTCTTTTGACAGATCAGTATTGTAGCATGCATGTTCCATCACTGTGTAAGTCTATTGATAACTTTTTTCTTCCTGTGGTCAGCATAGCTTCTTTCAATGTTGTGAAGGTTTGCCAGCAGGGAGGAAGTTTTTGGGTCAGTGCTAGCTTTATTTTCCTATGCTCTGCAACCAAAGTATGTTGTGTCTTTAGTAATAGGCTTTTACCATCCAGTTACAGTGAGCACCGAAGAGCAGTGGCAGTAACCTATGTTGTTTTGGGGGTTTCTAGGATCTCCCTGACCATTAACTTATAGAGAGGTATTCTGTACCTTGCCCTGGAATTTCCAAGCCCATATCTTCTAGGTGAAGCATTATTTGCCTGTACAGTGTATCTCCATTCAAACTTTTTTTAAAAAACTTACATTTTTATTTATTTATTTTATTATTATTATTTGGGGGGCGGGGTTTGAGATAGAGTTTCTCTGTGTAACAGCACTTTCTGTCCTGGAACTAGCTCTTGTAGAGTAGGCTGTTCTTGAACTCATAGAGTCTGGCCTGCCAATGCCTCCTAAATGCTGGGATTAAAGGCATGCACCACCCACCACTGCCCAGCCTAAAATTTACATTTTTAATTATCTTACCAAGTAGTAGGGTTCCATAAGACTTTTTGTTATATATCCTTAATTTAAATTAACTTCCCCCATCCCCTGAGTCTCTGTTTTCCTAGCACAGTGTTTATCTGCTGAATGATGGGGCCTGGGAGCCTTTCTGCTACTCTCTTGGATTACTAGTCCTCTTTAATCCTATTTTCTTCACCCTTGTGAAGGCTATAGCACGAAATCAGTGCTTATTCAACACTCAGGACATATTTTTGTATTTTTGTTACTATTAAACTAGTTTCTGTTTAGTATATCTTTGTTTCTTTTCTCTTTCTTTTTTCTTTCTTCCTTCCTTTTCTTTTCTTTTTTTTTTGAGACAGAGTTTCTCTGTACTCAACTCACTCTGTAGGCCAGGCTGCCTTGAATGCACAGAGATCCACCTGCCTCTACCTCCCAAGTGCTGGGATTAAAGGCGTGCTCTGTCACCACACACTTTATATCTTTTTTTCTAAAGCTTTGGTTCAAGATAAACTTCCAGTACAACCAAAATGATAAATGAGATAGCTTGTCTGCCACTTACACTTTTATTTACTAATTTATATTAGTTTTTATAAAGTTTACAAAGAATCCTTTAATTTGAAAAATGTTAGCTGACTTTGGTTCTTAAGATTTATTTATTATGTAGACAGGGTTTTGTCTGTGTGTGTACCTGATGGCCAGAAGAGGCCCCCAGACCTCATTACAATGGTTATTAGTCACCACATGGTTGCAGGTCCCATGTGGTTACAGGGCCCATGGAAGAGCAGCCAGTGCTCTTAACTGCGGAGACATCTCTCCAGCCTGTCTTTGGTTCTTTATGTAAATGTTTTAAATAAAATTGGTGTTTACCTTTTATTTCTTTCCTATTGTAAGACTTTTTATAAAACAATGGGTGCAATTTTCATGTGTAAGCCTGCATTTTATATTTGCTGTAGTTTTCCTTTGTATACTCTGTTTCAGGATATCGTGTAGATTTCATGTTACTTGAGATTTATACCAACATTGTTTCAATCTGTTACATTTTGTTTTATCTGTGGATTACTAAGAAAGAAAATTTATCACACTTAGAGTGATCTCACCAGTGAGCTGAGCACCACAATTGTTCGAGCCAGTCCGACTCCATCAGAGGAAGAAACTACGAAGAAGCTAAGAGACGAAGTTCTAAGTCAGACTACTGAAAAAGTATCATTGCCGTGTATTATCCAGGTTGAACCTGGTGTAGGAAAAGTGGCAGAAACTGCTTCTCCGAGTAGCGGATTTGAAGATGGAGAACCTAACTTTACATCGAGTCAAGATATTTCTTCCAGAAGTGGGGAACACTTGGAAGCTAGTGGGGTAGATTCAACATCCGGCCCCAGTGAACAGAACCTGTTTGGCCAGGCTTTCCTGAACAAGCCAGGTCTGTGCCATCGGTCTGGGCCAGTCATACCAAGCCCCCTTGTATTGACCCAGAAGACTGTGGGCCAGAGTCAAAGGATAACATCCACCGGTTTGTCGACCGCCAGCAGCGACTCTAGCAGCCAAATTCCTAGTCTCTGTACCCCTGTAAATCAGCCCAGTCTTGCTCCCCACATTTCAGCTCATACTTCTGCTGCTAAGGTGCAGAACCAGCCTCCTCTGTGCCCGGCACTCTGGACTGGACATTCTCTGTACACAGCTCCTGTGGCCCAGCAGTATTTGGGGCCAGTCTCTTCATCTGGGAATGCCGCCTTGCCTCAGCGCCATGCAGGCGTGCCAGTCTGTGGGATTTCAGGGTGTTCTCCTTATCCTCTTGTTACACCAGAACATGTGGCTTCTGGGATGTGTTTAGGACCAAATCTTGCCTCTGGAGTGATGGGTCCATCCTCTCTTTATAACCTGTGTTCTACTGCTGTACACCAGAACCTGCTGAGTACAGCAAAGCCATTTCCTGTGCAGCCTGTTGCTGCAAACTGTGAAACCAAACCATGGGACTTGGGGATGATGTCTGGATTTGGTAAGATGACTTTTCTTGTCATAGTTTTTTGTTGTTGTTCTGTATAGGCTGAATTTTCTCAAATGGGTCCACAAAGCTAATTTTACTCAAAGAAATGTTGGTTGAAATTTATTCTTTTTTAATTTTTAAGATTTTTTTGGTGTATGTGTGTGTATTTGTGAGTGTATGCACATATACACATGCATGTGCCCATGGAGGCAGAAGTGTTGGATTTTTTTGGAGCTGGAGTTGCAGGTGACCATGGGCTAACGTATATGGGTGCTGAGATTTGAACATAGGTCCTCATTATTGAGTAACATGTTCTCTTAACTGCTGAGCCATCTCCCTAGCTCCACTCTTTTATTTTATTTTTCCCTTTTTTTTTTTTTTTAAAGAAAACAGGATCCCTGTTGGCCTCACTCATATTTACTGTGGGGGGGAAGTTCTTACAATTTCTTCCTTTGTCTTATAGTGAGAGCATCAGAATGTTTCTATGAAGGGGCACTGAACTTGGCTCAGAACAGCAGTACCCTGTATGCTGACAGCTTTCTGTGTCTTTGTCTTGATATTTCTTTCTCTCTGCACTTGAGCTTTGCTGTTTCTTTAAGTAGGAAATGTCCTCCTTAGGATCATTTCCCAGAATGAGTTACCTTCCACTGGTTCTTCACGGATGTGATGTAATGACAGTGAGGAGCCGGGATCCTCCATGTGAGGATAGGGAAAGGGTGTAAGATAGAGCTGTGAAGACGCTGTGTAGCCAGGCACACCTGTAGTGGAGCCTCCGGAGCTTCTCTCTCTCTCTCTCTCTCTCTCTCTCTCTCTCTATTTATTTTATTTTTTATTTTTTTATTTTTTGGTTTTTTCAAGACAGGGTTTCTCTGTAGCTTTGGAGCCTGTCTTGGAACTAGCTCTTGGAGATCAGGCTGACCTCAAACTCAGAGATCCGCCTGCCTCTGCCTCCCGAGTGCTGGGATTAAAGGCGTGCACCACCACCGCCTGGCTCTGGAGCTTCTCTGTACAAGTCAGTAGCTCATAACTTGGGAGAGGAAACGGGCATAATAGCCACAAAGATTTGACTCGCTGTGAGTTCTGATTTGATTAACTTTACCTGTGTTGTCACATTGCTCATCTTCTCAATGCTGTATAGAAGAGATAGAAACTGTTGGCAGCTTCTGCTGAGACTTTTTATGTCCTCTTACTAGAGCATTTATTCTATAGACTATAATTGGGCACTCCTGTGTTATGGTTTCCTTTTAGCCAATAGTGCTTTTAATCAGATGTTTACTGTAACTTGCATTTTGACTTGATCTTATGCAGGGAATGCCACAGTACCCGAGGAACTGAGATTTCCTCATGCCTGCTGTGTAGGTATTGCTTCACAGACCCTCCTTAGTGTCCTCAACCCAACTGACCGTTGGCTCCAAGTCAGCATCAGAGTTCTCAGTATCTGTGTGAATGGCGAGAAGGTGAGTTTTCCGTGTCTGTCTCATTGGTGTCATAGATGTCCTTTAACCAAGTACTTGACTTCTTTTTTTTTTTTTAATTTTATTTATTTATTATGTATACAATATTCTGTCTATGTGTATGCCTGTAGACCAGAAAAGGGCACCAGATCCCTTTACAGATGGTTGTGAGCCACCGTGTGGTTGCTGGGAATTGAACTCAGGTCCTTTGGAAGAGCAGGCAATGCTCTTAACCACTGAGCCATCCCTCCAGCCCAGTACTTGACTTCTTTTACTCCCCTTTTAAACAATATTTCCATTTTTTGATAATTTAATATATTCATACTATGTGTTTTGGTCCCATTTCCTCTAACTACTCCTAGATCCATCCCCTTTTTCTAACTGATTAAATTGTTCTTTGAAAGTTCTAAATTTTTTTTTGTTGTTGTTTTGTTTTGTTTTGTATAATTTGGGTTTTTCGAGACTGGGTTTCACTGTAGTTTTAGAACCTGGCCTGGAACTAGCTCTTTTGTTTTGTTTTTTTTTTTTGTTTGTTTGTTTTATTTATTTAGTTTTTGATATTTATTGAGCTCTACATTTTTCTCTGCTCCCCTCCCTACCTCTCCCCTCCCCCCTCAGCCCTCCCCCAAGGTCCCCATGCTCCCAATTTACTTACTACCGCCCGGCAAAACAATAGTTTTAATGTCTAGCAAGGATCTCACACAATCAGCTACAACTGCTATTAGAGACTGTAAATTTTTCCTCACTCTGATGGCCATGTGGAAGTTGTGAGTAGGGAGGGTAGGGAGTAGAGTCAGTTAATTCCTACTATGAGATGTCCAGATTTTGTACTGGTACTCCCCAGCCAAGGATGGTTTTGTTCCCTTTCTCTTCTCTATATCCTTATTTACCTGGTAAAATAATATTGTCTCTGTCTTAGCTTCTGTTCCTGTTGCGTTGATAAAATACTTGACAAGAACGGTAGAGAAAGGTTTACTTTGGCTCACAATCCAAGAGTATAGGCCATCATGGAGGCAAAGTCAAGACAGTGGGGCTTGAAGCAGCTGGCTATATCATATTCATAATCAGCAACCAAAGAGCCCTGGATACATGCTACTCTCAACTCCCCCTCTCCACATAATTCAGGATCCCAGCTAGGAAATGGGTGGGTCTTCCCACTTCAGATGAAGTAGTCAAGGTGATCTCCCACAGGCATGTCCAGAGACCCATTTCCATGGTGACTGTAGGTTTTGTAGTCGACGGTTAACATCAGCCATCCCTTCTCTGCTGTCTCTTATTTTCCTCGCTTTCCCATCTGTTACCAGATCATTAAAGAAAACAGAAATATAAAATAACCAGGGGAAGGCATTGTAGATTTATGGTAAGATTTGGCACAGCATGTAGAAATAGAAATCATCCTAGACGGGTTTCTCAGGCTGAGAAGCACCTCTGTGTCCAGTGTCCTCTTTAGAAGAATGCCTGTTGGGCTGGAGAGATGGCTCAGTGGTGAAGAGCACTGCCTGCTCTTCCAAAGGACCTGAGTTCAATTCCCAGCAACCACATGGTGGCTCACAACCATCTGTAATGAGGTCTGGTGCCCTCTTCTGGCCTGCAGATATACACACAGACAGAATATTATATACATAATAAATAAATAAATAAATAAGAATGCCTGTTTAGTGAATATGTTTGTTCACTTGAAAATCTTCTAGGAGTGGACACAGTCCATATGTAGAGAGAATTATTTATCTTTTGCTTATATGTGTGGGTGGTGTATGCATGCCATACCACAGGTGTGGGGGTCAAAGGTCAACTTGTGGGCATTGGTTTTCTCCTTTACCAAGTGAGTTCTAGGGTTCAAACTCAGGCTGTCAATTTGCCATCAAGTACCTTTTACCTACAAGTCACCTCACTAGCTGTCAAAAAAAATTTTTGTTTTTGGATTGATTATATATCAAATAATGAGTTACAAGAGTCTTTTTTTTTTAGATTTTCTAGTTTGACTGGGAAAAGGAATCTTAAACTGGGTGATCAGTTTGAAAAGTAGAGCCATTTCTAACACACTATCTTGCTTTTATTTATAGGTGGATCTTTCAACACAAACATGTTTAGTTTTCAAGAATAAAGTTGTTATAAGACCTCATGCCACAGAAGAGATAAAAATTCTTTTTATACCCACAAATTCTGGAATTTTCAGATGTACATTCAGTGTTGCTTCTTGGCCGTTTTCAGCAGATGCTGACACAGTAGTGCAAGCAGAAGCTCTGGGAAGCAGAGTCACGCTCACTGCTGTTGCTGAAACCCCTGTTATTGAGGTAACGGTTTGTAAATGAGTCTTTGTCATTTGGTAACGGAGGAATTTGTGGGTAGATGGGCCACACTGTTTCTTAGTTGTTACTTAAAATTTTTTTTCTTTTAATTTTATTTGCTTTTATGTGTATGAGTGTTTGTCTGCATGTCCATATGTACACCACATGTGTGCCTGTGTAGGTCAGAAGAGAGTGTTTGGATGGGGTAGTCAGTGTGAACGAAGCCATTAGAGTTTGCCTCCTCAGACAGCTGGAACTAAGAACTGGGCCATGGTTTCATCCATTTTGTTTAAAGTCTGTTCTGACCAGTGTTGATCTTTCTATGTCATCTCTCTTTTGTTAATGGAGTCCAATTTCTTCTAACATCCTTTTGTTACAATGTCTCTTTAAAATTCAGCCAAAAATTTTCCTTCCTTTCCTCGTGTCTTCATTACCTTGAGAGCATACTGTGGAGATGCAAAGAAGGCATGAAAGACTCTGTTTGTCTCAGCTGCAGCTCCCTACCAGTGCTGGTGCTGCCTAGACTCAAGATCTGGTCTTCTTATAAACAATCTTTTGAAATGTACCCATCCCTAGAAGGGTCCCTTGTTGTTTTTTGAACACCAGGGCAGTTTTTCATATGTTTTTTTTTTTTTGTTTTTAATATTCCCCGAAAGAACCCTGAATTTCAGGACTTTATGTATGGTGCTTATATTCCATTTCAGCTTTGGGAAGTGTCAAACTTCATCTATCTTGGGGGTTAATTTAGACCCTGACCTTCATTGGCCATTGTATAATTCAGCTCCCACTTGCTAATAAGACCTTGATTTCCTTGTACTTTCATAAACTATAGAAGAGAAGTTTGTGTTTTAAGTATTGTCAGATTTCACATGTATGGCTGTGAGGGTGAGTCTGTTAAGTTGCTCTGATGTTTAAAGATATACCAGTCTGACACATAGTACACACTTATTTTTAATCTTTGAAATGTCTACTTGACATAATTTTAAATACTGTTTTTGTATCAGACTGAATCTGAAAATATCAAGTGAAGAAGGATGCTAAAAAGAAGTCCCACACTAGCTCAGAATTAAGTATAATAAAGGGCTATTTATTTAGGGGTAGACTCACAGATCACAATTTTCTGCACGAATGGGGAACAGGAACCGAAATTGCCCCCAGACCATACCTGAGTTTTACATGGGCATATATAGTATAAGAGGCCACACCCCTGTGGGCAGGTAACTTAAAGGTTACTGGTTGTAGGAATTCTTGCAGCAACCAAGATCTCATGAAGTTGTGAAAAGAATTAAGGAATTAAGAGGATTATTTAAAAGATTTATGTTTTATAAAACAATTTGTTTCATCTTACGATCTAATAGTGTTTCCAAAGTAACAGTAGCCACTTTGCCTTATTCTATAGTATATTTAAATACTTTGCCTACTTTAAATGTAGACTTTAACACTAGTTTTATAGACAGCAATAAAATTCAATGGAAAATAAAATAGAATGGGAAAACTTAGGTCCACATTTACCTATCATGATGACGCTTGTTTTTTTTTCCTTTTGGTATTTTGAGACAGGGTTTTCCTGTAGCTTTGGAGCCTGTCCTAGAACTAGCTCTCTTAGACCAGGCTGGCCTTGAACTCACAGAGATCCACCTGCCACCACCTCCCTGCCTCCTGTTTGTTTTTTGATCATGGTGACTCTTAACTGTTGCTAAAAGAATCACTCTTAACCATTGCTAAGATATTCATTAATAATAGATTGCTTTTTACCACTTAGTCCTTTTTTCATACTTAGGTAGAAACAGAAAAGAAAGGTGTTCTGGATTTTGGCGACTTGACCTATGAAGGCTGGAAAGCTCTCCCACTCAAGTTAATAAATAGGACACATGCTACTGTGCCCATCCGACTGATTATTAATGCTGTAAGTACTAACCAAGAATAAGAGACTGCCTACTGAATATATTGATTTGATATTATAGGCAATACTAGTTAATTTTTCCTTGTATAAGTAAATTATATTGCTAAAGAGCCTATTAACAGATGTACTGTTATGATTTTGGTGTACCTGACTTTTCTGTTTCTAAACAGAACGCTTTAGCCTGGCGCTGCTTCACATTTTCCAAAGAGCCCATCCATGCTTCTCTGAAAGCTACTCCTTACTCTGATGGGATTGCTCAGCTGGTGGCCCCATCTGTAATTAGTCACATGATGCCTGCCAATTATGATGGACAGGTAAGTTGGGTCAGTTTTAATAAAACTGGTTTAGAAGTAAAGAACAAGTTTCCAAACTACTTTTATCCCATTGGGATTTAGTCTTAATATACATTAAAATTTTTGTCTTTTATTTAATAGGATCCAGAATTTCTGATAGTTTGGGTTATTTTTCATAGCCCAAAGAAACTCCTCACTTCAGGTATCTTTTTTCTTTTTCTTTTCTTTTTTTTTTTGGACTTATCCTATTCTATAATTAAACTTCAGATTTACAGGTTTTTGTGGTTAATTAATGACAATGTTTTGGGTTAGTGCCAAGAATTTTATGTTATTTGGAAAATGGGGACGATGGTAGGATACTTGGGGTTAAGCCTACATAAGTGTAGGTAGTGTAAGCAAGTGCCACAGAAAACCCATTTCCTCTCTACTTGTTTCTCTAGTCAGACCTGGGTTTGGATTGTGTTAAAAGTCTTAACTGGGTTTTCTTTTCTTTTTAATTTATTTATTATTTTTGTGTACATGGGCATGTGTATGAATGGCACCAGACAATTGTGTGAAGTTGGTTTTCTCCCTCTACCTTTATGTGGGTTCTAAGGATCACACTCAGCATCAAGACTTGCACTGCAAACACTTCCGCCCACTGGGCCATCTCCCTGGACATGCTTTTGGATGACCAGATTTTGGTAAAATCTGGGACTAATTATCTGTTTACTGAAGTAAAAGAGTAAACTTTTACAGAAATTCTAGGCTCAGCAGAAGAATTCCTGGCCAGAGTGGATATAGAAGTTGACAGCCCAAACCCTTTACCAGTTCTCAGAAGTGTGGATCTCCGAGCAAGAGCAGGAATAGCTAGGATTCATGCCCCCAGGGACTTACAGGTATCCCCATCTTCTCTCTATTGTTATTATTTTTTTCTACAGGGCTTAGTTTGCTCTTTGAAATTCTATAAACTGTTTCAGTGTCTACTCTGGGAATAACTTTTCTTCCTGATTGTAAGATGTTAGCTCAATGCACGCTGTGATTAGTATTCTTTGCCATAACAAAATAAAATGGCATTTTAAACTAATTTTAAGATTTATTGTCATGTTTTAATTGTGTGTGTACATGTGTGTGTGTGTTACATGAGTTGGAGTTACAGGTGGTTGTGAGACGTGTGTAGGAATCATACTCGGGTTCTCTGCCAGGAGCTTCATGTTCGTTCTCTCTCTCTCTCTCTCTCTCTCTCTCTCTCTCTTTCTTTTTTTTGGTTTTTTGAGACAGGGTTTCTCTGTAGCTTTGGAGCCTGTCCTGGAACTAGCTCTTTTAGCCCAGGCTGGTCTCGAACTCACAGAGATCCACCTGCCTCTGTCTTCCGATTACAGGCGTGTGCTACCATCGCCCGGCAAGCATTATGTACTTTTAACTGTAGCCATCTCCCCAGCTCTTTAAACTTCTTGTGCTGATACAGAGCAACTATGAAGGATGTTACTGTAGGCAGAATCTCCCGCTTTTCTCAGGTTACAGCTGAGAGGATTAACTGGGGTCACTGTACCTGAGGTCTTACTGTTATTGTATCCTTTAGACCCCTGTTCAGTTCTGCATTCACCATGAGGTGATCAATCATGATTTTTTTTAAAGAAATATTTATTTAATTTTTATTGTTTTTATTGAGCTATAAATTTTCCTCTGCTCCCCTCCTTTTCTCCTCTCTCCCCTTTTACCCTCTCCCGTGACCCCCATGCTCCCAGTTTACTCAGAAGATCTTGTCTTTTTCTTTCTCCTTCCTATATGTAGACCCATAGATCCCTCTCTTGGGGTCCTCTTTGTTGTTGTCTAGGTTCTCTAAGGTGATGTGGCTGTTTTTTGCTTTATGTCTAAAAGGCACTTATGAGTAAATACATATTATATTTGTCTTTCTGGGTCTGGGTTACCTCACTCAGTATGTTTTTTTCTAGATCTATTTGCCTGAAAATTTCAAGATGTCATTTTTTACCGCTGTATAGTGCTCCTCTAATGTTATTCTGTTTTGTTCAGTTTGATAGTTTTTAATTGTAACTACTTTTTGAATGCATCTTTGCCCTACCCCATAGACTATGCATTTGTTGGCCGATGTAAATTCCTCAACAAAGCAGCCTTTGCCATTGAAAAATGCTGGGAATATTGAAGTTTATTTAGATATCAAGGTAAGAATTTTTGTAAGAGTGATTTAGTATTTCTGCCTCTTAGTTTCTGAAGGCTCCTGTGCTGGCAGCCTTGTTAGGATATTATGAGGACTGAGCTAGGGATACCAAGAGGGTTGTGAAAACTGAGAATCACACTAGCCTCAAGTGTGTACTTGATTAGTTCCTTAGAAGTTTGTGTGGCATATGTGGGTATGTAGAACTGGAAAAGAGTAATCTGCATATATAGGTTTTATTTCTGAGATCCTTCAATGAGTGAGAGCATGGTACTTATTAGTAAAAGGAGATGGGGTAGGAAAAAGATTTGAAATCGAGGAGAAAGGAGGAAGGAAATATCCTTTTGAAAAGGAGTAAGACTGGTGGTGGTGGTGCACACCCTTAATTCTGGCACTCGGGAGGCAGAGGCAGGCAGATCTCTATGAGTTCGAGGCCAGTCTGGTCTACAGAGAGAATTCCAGAACAGCCAGGGCTACTGCATACACAGAGAAACCCTATCTCAAAAAACAAAAAAAGCAAACCAATAAAAATCTAAAAAATAGCACAGAAAGGCATAGAATACAAGGAAGCATGCTTACATGCGTTAAGTTGTGGTTTTGTCATTTTTTAGGTCGCAGAACAAGGAAGTCAGTTCTCAGTGGATCCAGAGAGTCTATTTCTTAAACCTGGTGAAGAACATGAAGTGGTAGTTTCATTTGCACCAAAAGATCCCAAAGCCTATGAAGAAAGGTAATATGAAAATATTTATAATGACCTCTTGCTTAGTTGTTTTTCACTCATGTACAGGTACCTATTTTACTTCAACTAATATATGATATAATGATATAGCTAGCTGTGTTTTAATCTTTTCAGTTACCCTTTATGTGTATGTGTGTATGTATGTATGTATTTATATATGTGTATGCATATAGTATCACTGTTGTATGTGTGATGTGTGTGGTATGGGTGTCACGTGCCGTGGTGCTTGTGTGGAGATCAGTGGACAGTTTTCAGTAGTTGTTTCTCCCTCCGCCATGGGCTCGGGGATCATATTCAGTCTTCAGACTTGCTCAGCAAGAGCTTTTATCCACTGGACCATCTTGCTGGCCCATATTTTTTGTCAGTAAGGTGCTTCTCTTAGTCCAGCTGAATCAAAGTTAAGAGGTTGCTGCTGGTTTTTTCTACTATATTCCGACAAAAGGTAAATAAAGCATGAAATATGGTATTCCTCTTTAACTTTTTTCTTACAGAAAATTTTTACTTCAGTTTTTATTTATTACTTAAAATTCTTCCCAGGTCTCTCCCAGGACCTGGACTTTGACATCTAGGTCATAAGTAACTTGCAGTCAGAATATTGTTGTTTTTTGTGTTTGAACTTTATTGCATAGGGCTAGCTTAGTATATGTTACGAGGCACCTACAGCTTATCCCCAGTGTGGAGTATAGAATGCCCACATCTAGTTAGTTCATTACTAGAATCTTTTGGAAAAAAAACAGGGACTAGTTTAAGTGCGTGTTTAAGCCTTAAGTGTTTGCCCTCAACCCTGTACTGACTTCTCTTATGACCTTCAACTCTTCCCAAATTCCTCATGAAGAAAGCCCTGTGAAATTTCTCTTGTGCTACTGTGCATGCATTATTGTGATTATCACTTCTACTGTGTTCTTTCCCCCTGGAACATAAGCTTTTGGGATAGAAATAATTGTGCTTTCACCACAGACTCAGTTTCTTGGACAAAGGGAGTGTATAGGATATAGTTGCCAGAAGAACTGAATATGGGACACGTGACTTGTATTTTCTTCTTTGGTTAGGATCCTGAAAATATTTGTGCAGCCATTAGGACCTCAGTATGAAGTAGTGTTAAAAGGTGAAGTTATTTCTTCCGGGAGTAAACCTCTGCCACCTGAACCTCTCTGCTCCGATATTCCACTGATTCTGTCTAATAAGCAGTTTCTGACTTGGGGAGGCATCCCTCTCGGTAGGACACAGTAAGTATTCACAGCCACCACCCAAGAGCATTGAGATTTTGTTGTCTAATTATCTAATGTTACTCTCTCAGGTGTTACTCTCTTTAGATTTGAGATAAAGCTGTCGTATATTTACTTGATCTTCATATGATGAGAGTAAATTTTAAAAATTTTACCATGTCGAATTTTTAAAATGCATCTCAAACTGCCTTTTATTTTCTTAGGCTTTTTGGTGAGTTCTTTGTTGAGTAAGCATTTAGGGGTGTAAAGCTCCTTTTATGGAAAGGCAGAGAGATGATAATCAAGGCACTGTTTCTTATTAAGGGAGTTTGCAACCTAGTTGATAAATACTTAGAACAAACTTCAAATTAAGTGATAATGGTCTTCATTTTTTGTGCACATCAGGGATTTCTTATTTTGTGTTAAATGAACAAAGAAATTAGTTTCAAAGATTCAAGGTTTTTCATACTAGCCACCTGTTCCTTATATATCCACTTTACTTATATTCTAATGTCTTTAAAAAGTGAGCTTGCTGAAAAGACTACTTTATACAAATGAGCCTTGTAGTTCTGACCTCTTGTTTCCCAAAGAGTTCCAGCTCCGTTAAAGATTTGATGACACGGGGGCTGGAGAGATGGCTCAGCGGTTAAGAGCGTTGCCTGCTCTTCCAAAGGTCCTGAGTTCAATTCCCAGCAACCACATGGTGGCTCACAACCATCTGTAATGAGGTCTGGTGCCCTCTTCTGGCCTTCAGGCATACACGCAGAAAGAATATTGTATACATAATAAATAAATAAATAAGTTTAAAAAAAAAAGATTTGATGACACATGCATACATACATACAAATAAATTAGAGAGCAATATTAAACTGAAAACCTTGCCTGTTGAGTCTTAATAAGCCTTACATTTCCAGAAACAAGTTGCATAACTGTGGAGTGATGCCTCTGGCCTACCCAGGTGAGCTGTACAGCCAGCCTGTTCTTAGACACTGTGGTCAGGTTCAGTTGACTTTGTTTTGCCACTGTAGCAATATCCATGGAAAAGAAGACATTTAAAATGTGTCATTGTTTTTAGGCTTCAGAAACTAGCTTTAAGAAACAGTTCTACAACTACAGCCCAAAACTTGCGACTGCTTATTAAAGGACAGGACCAGGATTGCTTTCAGGTGCGTACCGCAGTCTTTGTTTTGTCTGATATAACACTTTTAAAGAATGATTTTGTGTAATATTTTGTTTTGTTTATGTAACAGGGCTTCACTGTGTAACCTAGGCTGACCTGGAACTCATGATTCTACTGTCTCCCACAGGCTTATACCACCACATGTGGCTTCTGCCTGATGTTTTTTTCTTAGTACAGAACACTCAGATATGTAGCCCATATGTTGTCTTGTCTGAAATCAGTCTCACTATGTAGCTCTGGCTGACCTTGAACTCAGAGATCCACCTGCCTCTGCCTCCCAAGTGCTTATTATAGGTATATGCCACCACACTTAGCCTAGACCAGCTGGTTTTGTATCTGTTTTTTTTTTCAGTGCTAAGGATGGAACCCAGGGTCTTGTACATACTAGGCAAGCTCTCTGCTGTTGGGCTATCTCCTCATCCAGACTGATTTTTTTTGTTTGTAGCTTTTAAAGATTTTTAAAATTTTGTTTTAAATGTATGAATATGTGTGTTTATGCAACATGTACATGCCTGGTGCCCTTAGCGTTCAGAAGAAGGTGTCATTCTCTGGGACTGGAGTTACAGATGCTTGTGAGTGCCATGTAGGCACTGGGAACTTAACCTTTGTCCTCTTCAAGAGCAGTTCTCTTCATTGTTGAGCCATCTTTCAGCCTCCAAGACTAACTGTAAGAAGAGTTTGTGTAGCACAATTAATAAAACCCAGAGACAGATACTGGGGTTCAACCTGACAGTCAGAAAAGCAAAACAGCCAGCCACTGGCTCTTACCTCTACCTCAGTCTGAAATGGCGATCCTGCCTCCAGGAATCTCAGATTGAGACTGTGTCTGAGAACTGTCTCCTTATGTCTTGTAGTCCTCTCTAGGGCTGGGATTAAAGGCATGCACCACCGCTGCCTGGGTTCTATGGCAAACTAAGTGTGGCTACTGGGTTTAAAGGTGTGTGTCACCACTTTTGCCTGGTCTGTAAAACTGACCAGTGGGGCTGTTTTATTCTCTGATCTCCAGGCAAGCTTTATTTATTAAAATACAAATGAAATATCACTACAAGTTTATGTTAATTATTTGAATTTATATAGTGGTTATTTTTAAATTGTAGATTAAGAACACTTTTGGCTCAGAAGAGAGATTGACCAGTAACTGTGAGATCAGAATTTGCCCAGGAGAGGACTGTGTAATCTCTGTGTTATTTGCACCTACTCGATTATCTTGTATGTTGGCTAAACTAGAGATCAAACAACTTGGAAGTCGTTCACAGCCAGGCATTAAGTTTATGGTAAGAGAACTTTACTGCTTTTTTTCCTTCCACAGAGTTCATGTTAAGTTATAACCATTGCTTTAATAATGGTAAATTATGTTTTTTTCTAAGTTATAGACTTATAAACAAACTATATGATAATTATCAAGTCATTAAATACAACCATTGTGAAACTTATAAAACTACCAAGTATCCTAATGCTTTTCGTTTCAGATTGAGAAATTTGAAACATACCTGTAAATCCAGATAGTTATTCAATTCAAGAAATTATTGTCTTAACACATTTGGTCCATTATAAACAACAGATACCACAAGCCAGATAATTATTTCATTATTTTATCTGTAGGACTGTTTTGCCTATACAACATGTATCTGGTGCCCATGGATACCAGAAGAGGGTATTGGGTCCCTTGGAACTAGAGTCACAGACTGTTGTGAGTTGCCATGCAGGTGCTGGGAATTGAACTCAGGACCTCTGGAAGAGCAGCCATTGCTCTTAACTGCTGAGCTATTTCTCCAACCCCACACTAGATAATTTTCAAATATTTATTGCTCTTAATTCTCAAGCTGGGTGTCCTAAATCAATGTGCCACCAAATTGACTGTCTCACGATGAATTACACTCTGTTTCAAAGATGGCACTTACTTTTGACACATTCTTTACTTTGATAAGAGTGATGTACTCTTTCACCTTTTTTGTTGTTGTTTTCTTCCTTTCTTTTTCTTCTTCTTTTTTTTTAATTTTTATGATACAGGGTTTCTCTGTGTGTAGCTTTGACTATCCTGGAACTCACTTTGTAGACCAGGCTGGCCTTGAACTCACAGAGATCTGCCTGCCTCTGCCTCCCCAGTGCTGGGATTAAAGGCGTGCACCACCATCCTCCCAGCTTCCTTCACCTTTTATAAGCATACTAATTGTAGTTCTGAAATCAGGGCTGTCATGACTTCAGCACTTCCTATAAGTCCTGCTTTCTAATGCTGTTACATTGGGGATTATTTCAGCATATGGATTTTGTGAGACACCAACATCCAGCCTTGGTAAATATCTCTTGATACAGTTTTCTAGACTATGCTCCAGATAGTAGATCTACAGAGACAAATTTTTAAAAATTGGTTTAAAACCATTTGCACAGATATGTTCAGATCTATAGATAAAAGGTGTAAATCATGGAGGAAAGAAAATAAGGGTAGCACAGTCAAATGACACCCCAGCTACATAGAAGTGAATTCCCTTCAAACTACACATTTTTCTGGCAGTGAGGCCAGAACTGAAATTTGTGTTCTCTTTGTTAGTGTCAGCTAGGAATACGATCTATATGAGCTGGGCCAAGATAGCTTGTCTGACATAGGAGTTAGTATCTGTGGAGCTACTTACTTGGTCCCATGGTCAACTGAACTGTTTGAATATGTAAGTGGTCATTCTTAGAACTTGTGGAAAAGCTTTAATGTACATGGGTGCATAGCACTCTAATCTGGTTTCCTATAAATAAAATTGGGTTTGTGGAAAGGCCTAAATGGACAGTGTTTTTCACACTATCCTGAATGTATTATGATTAATTTTAGGCTTATTAATCAATATTTGAGGTTGTTGGTTATTTAGGGCCAAATCATTTAACAGTCACCAAGTCCTAGTTCTAGTTTGGCACTTCTTAAACAAACCAGTGTCTTCATGCAGTTTCTGCCTGCATAGATTCCATCGAACTGGGTAGAGAAGGTTTATCTGTGGATTCCCTGGCTCAAAATGGCTTGTATTTCACAAAGACTTACACCATTAAAGTAAAGTGGTAGGGGAAACCTCACTTCAGATTTGTGGGAACCTGACAGTCAGCCGTCTCAGTCATTTTCCCTCACTCTTGGTTGGCACTTCAATATTTTACCTGTGATGTGCAGCCTCTTGCTGTCCCAGTATTTTCGCTTACTTCTGAGGAATGAATAGAATGTTCTGTCCTCTAAATAGCATAAAGCATGAGGGACTGAAATAAAAATTATTATAATTTGCATGTTGAGCACATGTTAAATATCATTATTAATTGGTAGGTGGAATATCACATTTTGTTTTCAGAATAACCTGAAATAAAACTGCTATTTCCATTTTACATAGGTTAATTGAAGCTACATAAGGTAGAACCCACATTGATTTCTATGTAATCCCTGTGGTGCTAAATAACAGCTGTTTTGTAGTCTTTGAGAGCAGTGGTTCTCAACCCAAGGCTGTGTAGGGAGAGACTTTTGGCAGAATCTGGAGACATTTTTGATTGCCTTACTTGAGACTAGGACAAGAGTATCATTGCCATCGGCCACACACACACATCTCACAACAAATACCTGGTGGTATTGTGCTTAAGAAACCCTTTTTTAGTGCAGTGATTAATCTATGTACCTGTTGACATCAAGTCAGGTTGGTTTTACTTAAAATTTTTGCTTTTGTGTTTTAGCATGTGTGTGTTATGTGTACATATATGTGCAAGTATGTGTGTGCATGCACATGGAGCCAGAGGTTGACTTTGGATATTTTCTTTAGTCATTTCACTTTATTTACTGAGTCAGACTTTCTCTGAACAGCTCTTGCTGTTAAAGAACTTTAGCCAGAAATTCTTGAAAAGTAGTAACTGTCCTGAGCATGTATACTGCTTCTCTTGATAGTGTTTTCTAAACAGTTCAGTAGTAATTTACATAGCATTTACATTGCATATTATATCTTCTAAAGATGATTTAAAGGGTATGTGGGGATGTACATAGGACATGATAACAACCATGCCATTTTAAATAAAGGACATGATCATCACAAACTTTGGTGTTTATAGGTATGGGGTGGTTGCCCTGGAACAGATCCCCTGAGGATAGGACAGATGCACTGAAAGAATAGTTGTATTGAATGTTTTCAAAGCTTCCTTTCCCCTTTATCATTTTATGTTTATTTTCACGCAGCTAATTTATTTTTAAAACTGTAGAAAATGGAAAAAAAATTGAAGTATTTTTCACTTTTGTAACTATAGGAAGTAATTTTAAACAATAGGATTTGTGGGTTTCTGCTTTGAAGGTCTTTATAACATAGGTATCTGTGAACCCTTGGTTTATTTTTCGAAGGCTTGACTCCTGTAAAAACTATAGCAAACATCTCTCAAACCTGGTTTCCATCTCAAGCTTCCAAATCCCTAGCTTGCTTTTTGCGTACTGTCATCAGTTTAGTCCTGTTTATTGTCGGTTTAGTCCTCTCTGACAATAGCTCTGCTAAAGGACTGTGAGATGGTAGGTAGGCTTTTTCCCCCCTAAGTATTCTATTATGAAAAAAATTTCTAAATTGCTGAGAAGTTGAAAAATTACCACTTAGATTCTACAATTCATGCTTTGGTATATTTCTTTTACCACACAGCTGACCACGTACTAGTATATCTGTCTTTTTAGGCATTTCAAAGTAGATTACAGTTGTATGCTTCACCTTACAAGTGTATGGGAGCATAGCTATGCTAGTTCTTTATTGGTCTTTGGTTAAGCTTGGCTTATACAACAGGAAATGGTTGTTTTTTAATATAGTCAGAAGGTATGCAGTTCGGCAGTACTGCATATGTAATAGATACAAAAAATGTATAATATAATATGCACTATAATGTATATGGTAGACTAGAGGTTCGGTAATTGCTAGCCTCAGGATGCAGACACTAAGACTTCAAGTGTATTAAATCTGTGTTTTCTTCTGACTGTAATACATTGTCTGCTTTCTTATGTAAAAATAATTTTTGATGTGTTTGTGTGTTTTTTTAGATACCTTTGTCTGGATATGGAGGAACAAGTAATCTTATCTTAGAAGATGTTAAAAAATTATCTGACAGTTACTTGGTAACAGTGAATGACTTAATCCCTGGCAAAGAAAGTAAAGTAGTTTTTTCTATTCGTAACACTGGCTCCAGAGCAGCCTTTGTTAAAGCATTATGTTTTAAAGATTCTCAAAGAAAAGTTTTGCTGGATCCTAAAGTAATGAGGATTTTTCCAGATAAATTTGTGCTTAAGGAAAGAACCCAAGAAGTAAGTATAAAATTTCTTCCCTAAAAAATAGTTACATTTTGATTAGGATTAATTATGCATTTTATGGCCAAGGAGTATGGGCTAGAAGCACTTACCTGGAAGAGCTGTACCTCACCCCCCCCCCCCCCCCACACACACACAACCTCCCTCACACACACAGGGTTTCTCTGTAGCCCTGGCTGTCCTGGAACTGTTGACCAGGCTGGCCTCTATGCAGAGATCTCCCTGCCTCTGCCTTCCAGTGTACTGGTTCTCGTGTCTGTGTTCTATTTAGTATTGCAGAACTGTTCATTCAGAGTGAGATGACTTACTGAAGAAAAATACTGAATATTCATACTCCTGGTTTTCTTTCTTTTTCTTTTTTATGTATCAGGATATTACTTTAATATACAGCCCATCACACAGAAAGAATGACAGTAAACCTGCAACAGAACTGTTAACTGTGTACTTCTTTGGTGGTGACGAAATCTCCAGACAGCTGTATAGAAGGTAGATACTTCATTTAGAGCTATTGGGAGCTGTTCAGTGAAAGCAAGGACAGTTGATGGTTTGGAAGTTTAGAATATACCTCACTATTTATTAGTCAGCTAGGGCAAAGAAATCCATGGGTAAAATTTGTGTGACTCCTAAATTGGCAGAGTGTGAGTTAAAAATACTGGGCAAACACCTGTGCTGTCCTGCGTTCTGCTTTCTTTATTGACATGGATTATGCCCCTTTACTTAATCATCATACTTTGCACTAAGACTCTGCTCCTAACATGCTTAAGAATATATCAGATCAGTGTCAGAGTTTAAGAACTACTGACAGATTATATTATATAAACCTACATGACTAATTTAGAATATTTCTAGGACGGTTATAAATTACTGGAAAAGGTAATTGTGTGTAAAAAGGTAAAAATGTGTAGGATGGGTTGACTTATAGATACTTTATAAAAATTGATTTAATGTACTGAGTTGGAAAGTTTGGAATACTGCTCTAGGTCAAGTGTGATTAAAAATGGTACATTATTTTATGATAAATTCTGGGTGCTTCTTATAAAATTGAGTTTCTTGGGATAGAGAAGCTAGATTGAAGATCATGCTGAGCGCGATAGTTCACTATGTGATTCTTCAAACCTGACTTCTTTGGTTTTTGTTTGTTTTTATTGTTTTGAGACTCGGTCTCTCTACATAGCCCTGGTTATCCTGGAACTCACTGTTAGACCAGGCTGGCTTCAAACTCACAGAGATTCACCTGCCTCTGCCCCCCTGAGTCTGGGGTTACAGGAGTGTGCCAGCAAGCACAACTGAACCTGGCTTCTTAATTGTGAAATCAATTATCACATTTCATGTCTCCCTTTCTCTCTACTGAAACAAAAAAATAGTGTATTGTTTCATAACTCATATTTACCATAAACTTTTAGTACTAAAATTTCCTCTCCATGAACATCTGAGAATCTCAGAGATGTGTAGTTTGTTTTTCACTGCAAAGATCCTTTGGAAGACGCCTATTTCGCTACTTGAATATTTCCCTAAATAAGCCTGGCAGTGGTGGCGCATGCCTTTAATCCCAGCATTCGGGAGGCAGAGGCAGGCGGATCTCTGTGAGTTCAAGGCCAGCCTGGTCTACAAGAACTAGTTCCAGGACAGGAACCAAAAGCTACGGAGAAACCCTGTCTCGAAAATCAAAAAAAATAAAAATAAATAAAAAAAATAAAAAATAAAAAAATAAAATATTTCCCTAAATAACTTATCATTATTTATTCTTTATTGCCTCTCACTGAGGCAAGTCTATGACCAAATCGTCACAAATAATGAAAAGATAAGTCCTCAAAAGGATCTGTTCTTCTTTCCTCTCTCACATTCAAGAGCTCCTGCTTTGATATTACTATTGAACTAACACTAATGATTTCACCACCATTTCAGCTGACCTTCCAAAGACAGGTTTGACTCTAAAAAGTACTTGTATTAAGATATATGCTCTATGTATGAATGTATCATGCTTTTTATGGGGCTTGCCAGATACATTAAAGTCTGATTTAGTCCCTTTTTATATAAAGTGAATAAACATCTCTCCTGGCAGAGCCCTGCTGCATAAACCAGGAGTCATAAAGCAGATTCTTCCAGAACATAGTGTGCTACAAAACATCGACTTTGCTGAAACATTTCAGGATGAGCTGCTCACAGATGAAGGTAAGAATTGTAACATCCCTGATCATCTGGGTCACCCATCTAGGCACGGGTATGAACAGGAACAAGGTTAGTTTGGATGTGGTTAGCTGAATCTGAGCTGTGAGAGCCCGTGACTTTCAGTGTCCTCCATGGGGTGAGAATGGCTTCTTCCTCTCATCCTTGAGGATTTGAAAATCAGAGGGAAGAACTTTGCTTTATAAATATTTTTGGTTTCAGGAAAGCATTTAAATGTCAGTAAAGAGAAGGCTCATGAATGGAAGGAAGATTGGGCCATTATTACACTCCGGTTCATGCTATTTCAGATTTATTAATTGTCCATCTCAGTGTCTGTGCTACTGGTGTTAAATTCATGAAGTTGCCTGCCTCAACTTGATATGCCCTGCTTTGTTGACTCCTATGGGAGGCCTGCCCCTTTCTGAATGGAGGGGGAGAGAATGCGGGGGGGGGGGGATAGACGGGAGGTGGGAGGAGGGAGGGGAAACTGTGGTTAGTATGTAAAATAAATGAAAAACTTTAATTTAAAAAAAAAAAGGAAAAAGTTTGAAGTAACGTAAATGTCTAAGCAGACAGGCCATTAGACAGAGATACGAATTTGTGATGAATGTCATTTTAAAAAGGTGTTCATTTATAAAGAAAAAGACCATTTAAAATTTTTACAGCAAAGTATCATTTTGGCAAAATAATATGTAAATATTTATGTAAATAAACTCATACATGAATATATACATTTAGGTTAAGATCCATCTTTGCTACTTTAGAACATCATCCCTTCCTCAGGAAAGTTCTAGCTAAGAGATAAACTGCAGTTTGCTGTGGGCATGCATAGTAAGTAACCTTGCAGCTGTGGTGAAGATGGGACTAAGAAAGCAGGTAGAGTTTCAGCGGTTTGGAAATTGGCATAATTTCACCAGCCGTGATAGTCCACGTGCCTGGCGAGTAGAGAGATAGGCCCCAGCTGTGTGGCACTAGAATGCAGTCCTTACCCATAAAGGGCCGAGAGTCCAGAGGACAGATGGAGGGAAAGTTAAGGTGTGTGGTGAGGAGTAGAACACCAGAGTGTGTTTAGGAATGGGAAGGCATAGAGGAAGGGCCAGTTCTCGAGAATGAGCTGACTCATTCTCAAAGTGGAGAAGATGTACCAGGATGAGGAACAATGTACCAGGGCGGCTCTTTGTCCAGAAATTCAAGAAATGTGTTGTTTTGGCAAACCCATTAATAAATAATAAACAACTATTCTCATAATTTATAGTCATAGCATAGTTACTATAAATTTAAACTCATGACCTGGCTTGGTGATAGATGAATGTAATGTAAGCATTTGGGAGTGGAGTCAGGAGGGTCAAAGGTACAAGACCAGCACTGGCTGTATGAGATCCTGTCTCAAGAAAAACAACAAATTTGTTACTTTTTGATTTCCATTTAAAATATGTAATTTTTAAAGGATGATAGAATGAAATACACTAAAATTTCTTGTATATACACATTTGGACAGCCTAACCTAGAAGATAGTCATGATGTTCCTCCTCTTTAATTAATCTAGAAATATTTAGTAATGATAATAGTGACTGGTTCCTAGATTTGCTTAACTGTGAAACTTGCCCTTAGCCTTTTCATGCTTCAGATTCCTCCTTTTAAATGTGTACCTCATACCTCCCTCCAGGAGTCACTCTGAAGTCTAGTTAACCTGAAGAACTAGGTAGTGCCTTACTCACCATGTATGCTTCGTGCCATACATATCTTAAAAAATGTTCATGTTCTAAGGCTCATGGTGTCCCTGAGATAGATGAGTACTGCTTGCTGTTCCAGATAATAGTTGAGGGAGCTAAAGCTCGGAGACGTTGCAGCAAAGATGATTCTTCACATTAGGTTCATAGTTTGTCAGCTCTGATGGTGAACAGTCTGTACCTGTTGGTGGTATTGATAATTGAGATGCTTCCTACCTCAACCTAAGGGAATACGGCTGTGTGTAAATTCATTGTCGTGTTTTCTGCTGTGCTTGTGTGAGGGCTTATGTGTTTCAAAGCATGCTCTTTCGCAGCGTGTGATCTTCCTCAGCGGCCTAATGACATTCAGCTCTTTTATGGAAGCATGCGTAAGATTACTCTGTCAGTCATTGGAGAATTCCGAGAATTTCTTCAGCCTTCTTCCAGTGCTATGTTGGAATCTAAAAGGTAAAGCAAATACACAGAAATCTTGCACTAGAGCTCATGACTGATTGATTCATACTGCAGTTCATCTTCTCCCCACTATACCATGTTTTTCTCCCATTTTCCCACCTTTTTAACAAAATTTGAAATTATTTAAAACTCCTGGAAAAGCTCAAAAATAGACAACTTCTGAAAACCCAATACTCAGATTTCCTAGTTCTTAACATATTTATGTGCCATCTCTTTTTTTATAGAAATTTTTGTCTTAATCACATTAAGAGTGAACTGCAGGCACGAATAACCCTAAGTTGTTAAAGTTAGTCCTATAGTTAAGTATCAGAATTAGAGCATTTAACATCAGTACAGTCCTTAGTGCATGGACTCTGCCAGAATAAAGCCCTTCACAGTCAAACTGGAAGAAGATCCTCTTTTCTCTTGTCTGAAATCCAAGATTGTACTGTATTTTGATGACCTGTGTCCTCAGTAATGAGCAGTCTGTCTGTCCTTCCTTACCATTCACAGATGAGAGAGTATAAATGGATTTTCAGATCAGAACCTCAGAGTCAGAAGAATCCCATAGTTAGGCTTTGCTGGTAATTTGAGATCAGTTACCTGTGGTTCTTCCCAGGTACTTTTTGTATTAGTACCTGTGTTCTAGACCAGTTTTCCACTGATTCTCTGTATTGAGCATATGACAAAAGGGAGCTATTTCAAGCATGGAAGTTCTGTTTTACAGTTTGGTAATTAAATAATTTAAATGATAATTTTCAAAGAGCTATATCCCATAGGCTCATAAATTTCCATTTTTTTAAATCCATGTACAGTTGTACGTAGATGCTACACTAAACATGCTATTACACCATTCCATAGACAGGGCATTAACATGCTGCCTCTGAGATTACCAGATCTACCTAAATCATCTCTTTTTTTTCTGAGTTTTCTCAGTAAAAGTGAGAAAATAGTTCCAGGACAGGCTCCAAAACCACAGAGAAACCCTGTCTCGAAAAATCCCCAAAAAAAAAAAAAAAGTGAGAAAATAGTGTACAGGTCAGCTGCTGACCATTTTCCTACCATTGATTTTTTTTCAGTTTGCAAATTCAGCTTTGACACTTTCAGCAGAACACCAAAGAAACAGCGCTGTTTAATTTTTTCCATGTGTCTCACAGATGGTGGGTGATGCTGACTGGTCGTGGTGTTGTTTTTGTTTTTCACTCTGTAGACCAGGCTGGTCAGACTCAGATTCACCGAATGCTGGGGTTAGAAGGAAGCATGTGCCACTGTGCTCAGCAGCAGTAATATTTTTATAACTTGGTTAAAAATAGTGTTTTCAAGTTTCTCCACTACCAAGCTAATATATTTTAAACACATTTCAGGTGTAGTGAATTATTACCAAATTTTTTATATCTGTTGGTAATTGCTGCCCGACTCATGTTATTGCTATCATGGTAGTCAGAGCATTTCTTTTCATTCTGTTCTCTTATATTCTGCAGTTCTCAGGTGGCTGTCCACTGTGAAGGAGACTTTTCTCCTTTGTATGTACTTACTGCTGGCAGGGTGGGCTTGTGTAGTCAGCACGACTCTTGTTCTCTCATCCCATCCTCATTCACTGGTCCTTTGCTGGGCCTCCCGTCAGTCCTGAGTATTTCCTTACTCAGGACTTATCTGACTCTACCCTTCCCAGCTTTATGATTCTTATTTCTCTTAGAAGTGCCTTTGTTTAGAAAATGACATTGAGAACCAGGGAATGCCTTGGATGTGCCCATCCTACTATAGTGGAAGACCTAAGAAATGCATGGATTCATGTGTAAATCCACGTTTCTGTATCTATTTCTCTTCGTAAATATGTCAGAAAACATGAGTTTATATAAATGCCCCCAGTTTCTTTCTATAGTATATCTTTCCCACTGTGTTTTTCTCTGACTAACCCATTATTATCTTTTGCCTTAAGGTTTCACTCAATCTCCCACATTCAACCAATGCTGTTGTATTTTGTCTTCCAAGCCCAGTGCTGCAATGCACACCAGCTTAGTGTCCCCACATGTTCAGTACCACATCCCAACCCCTGCCAGTAACTCCCCCACCTGCCTGCCCCTCTGTTCTTATTCCTTTGCTTTAGTTCTGATAATTTCAAAGGCATTTAAAGGATTAATTAAATTTAGCAGTTACGTATATCACAGAGTAAGGAAATTATCCTTAGTAAGTAGAAATACCAAGAACCAGCACTTGTTTCACCTGGTCCTGACTTTCCCAGTGCCTCTCTTGTTTTCTGGTGCTGTGAAGTCTGATTTGAAACCAAGGTGATCATGTGCTGGTTAGAAGAGGGGTGGGCTTCCCCTCTGATTTTCTGCTCAGTGCTGATTGGAAGTAAAGCTGGAGCCCCATATGCAGGGCAGAGTTGGGACACTGCACATTAACACTTCAATTATGATTTTTGTTTTTGAGATTACAAAGTAAGTTTGATTTAGAATTGTTTTGTAAGGCTTACTAGAAAATAGTGAGAGTCTTCTTAGACTGGATTAGTATTCTTTCCTGTCGCATTTTCCAGAAGCCTTTTCAATGGAGTTTGTGTCACTGTTGTGAAACCAGTTATCGTTGTGCAGTTAGAGATATGTTAAAGAATAATTGGTTTTTCTTCTTTCCCCCCTTCCTTCCTTCTTTTCTTTCTTCCTCACTGGCTCCCTCCTTTTTTTCTTCTTTCTTCTTCCTTCCTTTGATAGGGTCTGACTATGTAGTCTTGGATGGCCTGGAATGCCTGTGTAGACCAGGATAGCCTCTAGCTCACTGAACACTACCTGTCTTGGGCCTGCAGTGTTGGAATTAAAGGCATGTTCCACCATGCTTAGTGAAATTGTTTTTTCTTTCTATTGGACCATTTTTCCATTAAATTTTTTAAGACATTTAAGATACAGAAGTCAGGCAGAAAAAAAAGGTGGAAATCATTAAATAGTTTGACTAAATGTACTCTTACATTTTTTTGTTTCAATTCTCTATCTTTTCTCTCCTCTTGTGCTAGGGTCAGACCCCAGGGTGTTGTCACGCTTGGCAAGCACCCTACCCCAGAGCTACAACCCAAACCCTACAAAGTAATTTTATATATAAAATATGGAGACTTCATATTTACTAAAAATTATATGACATCAAACCCTCTTACTTGTATCATAACTATTTATTTTATGAAGCCCTGATATAAAATGTGAAATAATTAGATTTGTTAATATTTTTTATGTCTCTTTCTTTTCTCCTTTTAAATATTTTCCCCTAGTGAATCTGGAACTTCTGGAAAACAAAGTGGCAATGTCTCTTTGGATGTTTTGCCAGTTAAAGGCCCTCAAGGTCCTCCTTTTCTCTCACATATTGCCCACTCAACTCAGGACACACCAGTCTCTGAAGAAAGTTGGGCTGTCCATCCGGAACACTTGATTCTGGTAGCTCCTTCTTCTTGTGATTACCCGGGTAAGGACTTCTCAGAAGTACATTTAGGAGTCAGGGTTTGCATCCCTATAGACCTGACAGTTGATCAGTATTCCATGTAAGGAGCTAGCTTTACCTGCTGCTTATCCATGTAACAGTGATAACTGTTGATTCAGGGCAGGAGCAAATGGTACATACACGTTTCCCAAAGTGAAGTCAGGTGAGGGCATTTTCAGGTTTATAGTCTCTCTAACCTGTTTCTGGGTAGCCAGTGCCTTTGTAGTTTTCAGTAGTTCTTCAAGACCCACTTTAACACAGACTTGAAATTCCTAGAGTTGAACTGTTGAGAAAAGCAAATAAGGTATTATTATATAAGTACATTTACTCAGGATTCAGTATTACTGACCTTTGTCTTTTCACTATGGCTAAATGAAATTAACATTATTTTTCTGGCATATTAGGTGACATGGCAAAAACTGGACGTTTCCAGATTATAAATAACTCTGTTAGGGTACTGAAATTTGAGCTGTACTGGCCAGCGCATTGCCTGACAGTCACACCGCAACATGGATTTATCACACCACAGTAAGTATGGTTTTTTGTTTTTTTCTGTGTTGTTATTCAGATGCCGTCATGGAGGCTTTCGTTAGTTTTGATTTGTTTTGAAGACACTTGGGATGAGCTAATACAAGGATAGGTACCCAGAGTAGACCTGGTGCAAAGCAGTCAATTCAGGCACACTGACACTGAGTGTTTGTCTCATGCAGCATGCCCTTGCCAGCTACGGAGAAAAAAATAGGGGGTGGTAGAACAATTATTTTACAGATTGCCCCAGGGATCCCATAGATTGGCTATTAGTAATGGAAAATAATTTTGCTATGCTATTTTTGACAAGTGTTTTTTTTTCATAGACATAAGTCTGATCTCTTCATTTAAACTTCCTGAGGGAAATGTGAGAATGGAGAATATCAATAACTGACCAGTTAGTACCCCTCCCCCGTTTTCTCTCATATTTTCTCCCAGTTTACTGGATAGTTAATTTGATTTGTGCTGTGACTATATCATCCCCAATTATCAAGTGACTCAGAGTTTGTGTACTATGACTATCTGGAATTGATTCTGAGATGGTGTTTATAGTTAGTGGTTTGTATTAGAAAGAGTTTTCCTTGGGTCGAGGGGTTTGTGCCAGTATACCTTTGTTACCATTGTTGGGTACTGAGGCCAGATGAGCCATGAGAAGAAGATAGGGCGAGAGCTAACCACATTCTGTTTTTTCCAGCCATAGGAAATGATTGGTTATTAGCAGAGCAGCATTTGTAACTTGTCATTAATACTGTAAAAGTGAAGAATATTCTCATTGTTCATTATTATTATTTTTTACAGGAGTAAAATACAAATTCTTGTGAGTCCTAATTCTTCCCTGTCCACAAAGCAGTCAATGTTCCCATGGACTGGTTTGATCTATATACACTGTGATAATGGGCAGAAGGTATGTCTAAATTATTTTTCTGAACAGCATTCAGTTTCACAATCCTTAAGAACTTATACATTGTGGAAGTCAAATGAAGCCCAAGTAGGTTTACTTCTCAGAGCACTTAGTATAGAGTTTTGCCCTTAGTGATCTGAACAGTTTTACTGGGAGACAGGGAGTGGAAAATAAGGACCCAGAAATTACTACTAATTATTTGCTTTAAAATCAAAAAGGAAGAGGGGAGGGAGCCAGGGGAGATGGCACAGTGGGTAAAGCACTTGCTTTCTGAGTTCAGGGCGCCAGAACCTACGTAAAGACAGACTAGGAGCATGCCTCTGCTGACCCTGTGCTCCTACAGCAAGATGTGAGCACTGGCCTCTTAGCTCGTGTACATAGTCACAACAAGAGGCCTTACTTAAAACCAACACCCAAGGTTGTCCCTTGACCTCCTCACGAGTGCTCAGACACATATTCATGTACACTCACACATACCCAAGAACATACATGCAGAGGTAGTGGGAGGAAGGGAGGGAGGGGAAGAAATCTAATGCTGAGAGCAGAAATTGAACGAAAAGATTTACTTCTTTGAGATCTGAATAAACTTTAAAATCTAAATTCATAAGTGTTTCATTTGTTTGGAATTTATTATTATTAAAAAACAGAATGTGCCGTTTAAACTGGTAACTACTTTTGTGTCTTATTCATTTGAATTCATTTCAGAAAATGGTAAAGGTTCAAATTCGAGAAGATTTGACTCAAGAACCTTTACCTCATCTGGCCTCCAGCACGTTTGGAATTCTTGTCCCAGGACCTGAGCCTTCCATTAGTCATTTGACAAAACCAGTAACAAAACCACCTTCCACAAAAGTTGCAATTAGAAGCAAGACAGTGATTTTTCCTCCAACAGAACCTGGTCAAGCCTCAGGTACTGTATCACAGTTTGGTCAGACGCCAGTCACTGCACATAGTCTGGTGCTTCACTTTTAATAAATCTGTGCATTTGTTTTGTGTGCTAGGTCTCAACACCAGGGCATCAGAGCACATGTTAGTGCTTTCCTGCTGAACTTCCAGCTCCTTGCTGAAAGTTAATCTTGAGTTATTATGTATGAAATTTACTCCTGCTTAAGGAGAAAATTATGGAGTCATTGGTAGCCATTTCAATAATGGGACATAGTAGGAGGGCGCTTGTTTGTTTCCCAGCTGCTGGGCAGCTAAGACCCGAAATAACCACACAGAAGCCATTTTATTTGCAATATTGCTTGGCCTATTAGCTCTAACTTCTTATTGGCTAGCTATTACATATTAATTTAACCAATTTCTATTAATCTGTGTATCATCACGTGGCTGTGGCTTTCTGGGTAAAGTTCCAGCTACATGGCTTCTCCCTAACTCTTCCTTCTTTCTCCCAGCATTCAGTTCAGTTTTTTTCGCCTACCTCTATTCTCTGTGCAGGCCCAAGACAGTTTCTTTATTAACCAATGGTATTCACAGCATAGAGAGGGGAATCCCACATCACCTCCCCCTTTCCGTTTAAATAAAAAGGAAGGTTTTAACTTTAGCATAGTAAAATCACATATAACAAAACAGGTATTAAGCAAGATCACAGTTACAATATTTATATATACTTTATCTTTTATCATAACTAAGGAAAACTATAGCTATCTATTCTTCAACTCCATTAAAGACTCCAGAAGGTTATAATATTACGTAAGTAAACAGGAAGTGCATTGGAAGCAACTTTCAAAACTCTAGAGTTGACAAAGGCATCTCTGCCTCCACATCAATGGGATGGATTTGAAAACACTATCTTAAAATCTGAAGCCTGGGCTCAAATATCTGTGTATTCCTGGTATTTAGGTTTTATTGGGTGGTCATTACTATCCTGTTCCAACCAGGTCTCTCACCTAGTAGCTGAAGAAGAAAGGAGATGGTGTCTTGGGATTTTATTTCTGTGAAGAGACACCATTACCACAGCAACTCTTATAAAGGAAAACATTTAACTAGGATTGACTTACAGTTTAGAGGATTAGTCCGTTATCGCTGTGGCAAGAAGTGTGATGGTGCATAGGCAGGCAGGGTAGCAGGAAGAGAGAGTACTGCTGGTTCTTCTGGCCTGGGCTTCTGAAACCGAAAGCCCACCCACAGTGACACACTTCATCCAACAAAGCCAAATTTCCCAATATTGCTACTTCCTATGAGCCTGTGGGGATCATTTTCATTCCAATCACCACAGTTTAGATGGAGAGACCAAGGCTCTGATCCTGTTTGATTTTGAGATCCTCAACAGGCTGGGTTAACTGCTCAGTTTCTTCATGTGTTAAGGGCCTATTGTAACCATCACCTTCTGGGGCACACTGAGAGTAGATTCAGTCATTCATTTGTTCAGTTATGTATATAAAGCAATGAACCTGGTCTTTACCATCTAGTTGGTACTCTGTAGTTAATGTCTCTTTATCCTTCTCCTTGCTGATGTTTGCTAAATGGATAGTATTATTTGAGTGTTCTAGAAAGGATTTGGGTCCCTGTCTGACTGAGTCATACAGTACATTTCATTGACTTTGTTTCCTTCTTTGTAGGCCTCTGGACCTTACTGTTTACCCCAAAGGCTCACTCTGCTTTGACTCTAAGACCTTTCCTGTCTTTTCCCTGCTTCAGGGATTTCAGGCTAGTCTTTCCAACCTTGTTGATGTCATCATTGCAGGGTCCACAACCTTCATGGCTTCTACCACTTGGCTTAGGTCCTTCTTTTCTTAGAGTCCTTGATTCCTGTGGCCTTTCCCCCCGTTTCCCTCAACTTTCTGTGCCTTCTTGTTAATCTTTGGTCAAACCTAGATGTCTGGCCGCTTGTGTTCCCACTCCAGCATCAGGGCGTTACTGGCCAAAGCCTTACAGGCTTTGCTGACAGATTTATAGTCCCAAAGGTCCCTTTATCGTGTGTCTGACCAGGAGCCCATGTCCCAGCTGTTCCCTGAGTCCTTTCACATTTTACAGCTCCTGACTTTGCCTCACACATAGAAAAGTCATCAGGCTAAATGAAATCTTTCTGTTCAAGGCTTCTGCTGAAATCTAGGCCCATCTGCTCTGCTTTCTCAGGACTCTCCCTGCCCCCGTTCTTTGCTCTCACCTTCCTTTTCTCCTTTTTTGTTGGCTCCTTTCAATGGCCCTCTGTGTGTTCTACCATCACAGACACTTCTGGTCTCCACCCCCATCTTTCTCAGCACACCCTCTGGTGGAAGGGTCCTGCTCCCAGCCCTCTCTTTCTTGGTTTGGTTAGGTGCCATCACAGTGCCCGGGCAACTTGATCAGAGCTCTCAGAAGAGCTGTTTGCCATGTCTATAGCCTCTTAGGTGGCACTGCCTTTTCCTCCATGGACTTTTCACACTTGGGTGCTGATGCTCCTGGATTTTCCTGTCTCATCCCTTTCAGAATTCCTCGAGACTCTTGTAGCCCAGCTTCTGCAGTTATATCAAAGCCCTGGGCCACTTATACCCTGTTGCCACTCATGTCCTTCCCCCTTCTTTCTGGTCTCCCTGGGTGGTGTGACTGGCGACTGCTGTTGGCTCACGTGATGTGTTCTTAGAGTTGTTGGACCCAGGACAGAGCCTTCATCTCCTCCAGTCTGACCTTGTGAATCTTTGACACCTGTCTTTAGATTGTATTATAATCTCGTTCTCTTGTTTCAGCCCTTCAGTATCCTTTGCATTATACCTTGAAAAAGAATCCAAAACAGGATATTTGATTCTCTAGAAAATTCTGTACTTTCTTCTTGACTTATCAGGTCATAGGTTTGTCACAGAGCTGCTTGCCACTAGCCTCTCAGGGTACAAATGTGCATTTTTTTTCTTTTCAGAGAATTATCTGGAACTGGAGAACTGTGGCCCCACAGATGTGAAGTGGCACCTGTCATCTTTTGCTCCTCCATATGTCAAGGTCAGTCATCTAAACTGTGGGCTGTTTCAAACCCCGAATACAAGTGCAGGTTAAGATGTTGGTTGTTTGTGCCCCAGTTGATTCACTTGTGTTTTTCTGTGAGTTAGAATTGTGTACACCCATACTTTTTCACCAGGTAATTCTGAGATTCAAAATGGAAAACTTTTTTAAAGTGTAAAACAAACAAAAATGCTTGTTCCATTTAGTTTTCCTGGTTCTGATTTTTAGCCTGATATGAATTATTTTGGAAATGTTAAGGGTTTTATACTGAGCCCTATGGGTGCACACACTGATTTCTTTCCATGCGCGCCGTGCTCCTGTGTTCACTCATTGCTGTTATATCTGTCATGTTTCAGCCCATGGGAGCTGCTGTGTATCTGGGCAGAGCTCAGCTGGGGAGAAGGCCCTTCCTTAGGCATGTTTCCTGACCTGTTATGAGGGGATTTGTCCTGTCCTCCATAACTATAAAAATGATGGGATCTTTTTATTAATTTATTGGATCAGGAAATTCTTTGTCATTTGAATAATAATAAAATAGCTATTTAATTATTTTAAATGATTATTTTCCAGGGAGTTGATGAAACTGGCGATGTTTTTAGAGCAACCTACACAGCATTCAGATGCTCACCCATTTCTGGCACACTAGAAGGCCATGGAATCCAAAAGGTGAGGTTTGGAAGTTTTTCATAGACAGCTGGTAAGAATATATTCCACCAGGAATGAATCATGTAACCTGGTCGCCTCAGTTTGTTTCCTTCAGACCAGAGCTGGCCGCAGGGCCATCTGTCCACTGTCCACTGGAGAAAAAGTTTGCTTGGTCCAAGCACACTTCCATTGCATAATGGTGGGAAGTTACTAAGCAGCATTGAATTTGTTGATAAGGGTTGCAGCAGCTAGTAGTGTTCACAAAAAACTTCACTGATCATGACAATAGTTCTGCCTACCAGCTATAGCCATCAAAACCCACTGTTCTTCAGAAAAAAATTCAACATTGACAGCACAGTTATCAGTATATTTTCATATATATTCCTTCCAACTGTTGTGAGCTTTTATTATTTTCAAAGTATTTTGAAAATCATTTCTTTTATTTTTGAGATTATAAATACTTGTTTTCTCCTTCCCCTCCTCCCTCTATAACTTCCCATTACTCCTCCTTATTGTCTTGCAAATTCATGACCTCTATTTTCATTATTTGTTACATATATAATCATGCTGAAAACCTTAGCTAGAGATCTGGAGAAAAGGCTCAGCGGTTAGGAGCACTTTCAGAGGACTCAAGTTTGTTTCTCAGCATCCATGTCAGGTGGCTTGTAACTGCCTGTATCTCCCACTTCAAGGACTCCTACTGAGGTGTCCCATTGGTGACTGAGAACTCCTACTGAGGTGTCCCATTGGTGACTTAGAACTCCCTGGATACTTATTCCCTGCATTTTGACCATTTGTGAGTTTCTGCATTAACCACCATCCCAAAGAAACTTCTCTGGTGAGGTCTCAGAGCTATACTCAGAGAGTGTAGAGAGCCAAGAATTCTCATTTGTTTATTTATATTTGACTAGAAATGTAAGCTCCATGGTGTTTTTATTTTTTATTGTTGTGTGATTTTCTCCTAGGGAAATGTAAACAAATACACTTTCAGTCAAGATAGTACACTGACAATAAATCAGAGAAACAATTCCATCCAAGTTTAGCCTGGTGAATTGGAGTTACTAAATAGGAATATAGAGTGCCTCTTGGGCATCTCTGTCATTAAAAAATAGCAGCAGTAGTGTGTAGTAAACTTTTGAAGTATTGATCAGTGTGGTACAAGGATTGAATGAGGTAATAAACACGGAAGTCTTCAGGGTGTGTATTGAGTGTATGATGTGCAGGAATGCTAGCTTTCTTTCCTCTTTTTTTACTTTAATTTTTTTTTTTTTTTGAGACAGGATTTCCCTGGCTGTACTGGAACTATCTCTGTAGACCAGGCTAGCCTCGAACTCACCCAGATCCGCCTGCCTCTGCCTCTGCCTCTGCCTCTGCCTCCACCTCAGAGTGCTGGGATTAAAGGCTTGCACCACCACCACCTGGCCTTGGAGTTTAAAGAGGCATGATTCTCAGTGTTCCAGACAAATTGCCTATTTACTCTCAGTGTTTTGTACCTGTACAGGATGTCATTGTTTTAATGCTTGCCCACTCCTCTTCATTGTGTGTTCAACTCCCTGGACTGGGTGCTCTTGTCTAGGTCTGTTCTTCCTTTCCCTCTAAACTCTCAGAACCTGGGTTATTATTATGCTCTGCAAGGCAAGAATGAAGCATTTACATATGTTAATGTTTTAGTCCAGACTCAGAGATACTAACTCATTGGTGACCCCTGTTCTTTGGTAAAGCCAAGACTTTTCAACACTGACTTTATAAAGCACTACTGTAAAATATTGTCACATTGTTATAGTGAGATGGTAAGTCCTATCGTCCCAGGTTGTCCAAGAATGGAGAGGACAGACAGTGGAGGGGAATCTGATGGCCAGAGGGAGCTTTATTTGCCACATGGGAGCAACAACTTAAATGGGAATGTGGAATATAGCCCTGTGTACTACACAAGGTACCAGTGCAGGGACTGTCAGCAAGTGTTATACAACTTAAAGCCTTCAGCAGATCTCAGGATGCCAACCAACAGTCATTCCATGCAGAGCAAGTCTGCATGGCCACAGGCCACTCTTGTCTCTGGCATGTTTTGAAGGCTGTAAACAGCCGCAAAAAAATGGTTCCCTATTTGAGTCTTGAGGGCTGGGGCAAGAACAAGTCCCCTTACCCGCTGTAGCTGCAGGTTGAATCCTGGAGGGTGGAACATTAGGGGTTCCAGTGAGTTTTCTACTTGATGTAGAAGCTGCCATTACAGCAACCCACCAAGTAGCGATCTTCTTTTCTGCCTGCAAAGCAGGCTTAGTGAATTCTGGCTGGAGCCAGGCTCAGAAGTCTTCCTTCTTTTCCTTCTTAGGCAGTCTCTTGAGCTCTCCTTCCCATCAAACCCAGGAGGGGAAACAACTCAAGAGTGTACTCAGTCAGGAGTCTCCATTCCCTGCTACTGGGGTGCTAAGGAAATACATCCTTAGCTGTCAAAAAGGGCACCCCTAGTTTTTTTCTTTAGGTGTGGGTGGCTAATGACCTTTTCAGAGAGAGTGGCAGTCTCTTGCTCTCTCTACCAGGATTCATTTCTTTGCTGTTGTGGTGGTGATCCTCCTCAGACTGCAGACAGATCTTCACCCCTTGGGGGATGCAGTCTGCTTCCCCATTCCAGCTGCATTTTGAGCTCCTCCTGTCAGTTTTTGTTGAGTAGAGTTTTGTTTTGTTGCTAGTCACCACTGCAGTGACACTGGGATCTCTCACATGTAAGGCTGTCAGATATCGCCAGCTGCTTTGGGGGTCCCCATGTGGGTTCAGTGTCACTGGGATTGTGTGTGTGTGTTTCATTCCCTTGCTGCCTTAGCAGCTGTAGGGAAGGAAGCCCCTGACTCTTAGAAGGTGGGTGCTCAGTTGGTTGCTGCGCTCCATCTAGTCAGTTGTGACTGTGGGCTGCCTTTGGACACAGCCTGTGTGAGAAGCAGGGGTTTGTGGTTGCTGCTGTAAAGGTCCAGTTGTCTTCACACCTGGGGTTCTTGGGCCCTGGATACTGCTGCAGAGCTCAGATCACTGTTTGGAGCCTTCCTTCTGCTGGCTCTGCCAGGATTACCTTTGGGGCCCCCTTTAGTCTGATCAGTTGAACATTCAGGTTGTATACCTAAACTGTATAAGCAGGACAACTAGCTCTGACTAGCATTTTGACTTACTATATGAGCTATTATAACCTAGCACCATTTGCTTTATTGTGCTGGTCACCCTAACTTTCCACTGTTTTCATGTCTGAACTGAGAAGGCCTCAGTGATGAGGTTGAAAGAGTAGATTGTTTCCATGGTGGGATTTTCCTCCAAAAAAAGCATATACTGCACATTTGAGGGAAATGTTACATATAGCTTTAAAAGAAATATATTTTAGATATGTTATACTAGTGATAAAGTTGTTCACATCTTTCTTTTAAAAGTATTTTATTAGTTTATGTATATGAGTATTTTTATTTGTTTTTATCTGTGTACCATGTGCGTACAGTACCTGAGGAGGCCAGAAGAGGGCACCAGATCCCCTAAAACAAGAGTTCTATATGGTGTATTGAACCTGGGTTCTCTAAAGAGTAGCTCGTGCTCTTAATCACTGAGCCATCTTTTTAGCCCTCAAACCCATTTTTTCAGAGGGAGAACTAGCCAGTGTAAATGTATTTGCTATTTCACTTGGTTTACACTAAACTTTAAATTCCTAGTCTGTGTTTAAAGTTGGAGTCTGTGTCTCATGCATTTCGTAGGTCTCCATCATGTTTCTGCCCAGAGATGGAGGGGATTACGCCCAGTTTTGGGATGTTGAGTGCCACCCTGCTAACGAGCCTCACATGAAACACACATTGAGATTCCAGCTCTCTGGACAGGTGAGCATTGTCCTAGGTATCATGAGCAAGTGATTGTCTGTATTAAAAACCCTAAGCTGGAAAAGTCTGAAAATACATAATGATTTCCTCATATAATTTCATTTTCAGTACTTTGTTGTAGCCTCATATCTTAAGATTCTTGTCAGTCTTTATTACCAGACATTTTCAGTCTTCTTTTTGGGTCTCTTGTCTATACTCCGCATGAACTCATGTTTGGCTTTATTATGTAAGTTGCTGTCTGTCTGTATGTGCGTGTGTGGGCATTTGCACTGGGGGCAACAGAACCAAGCACACAGAACAGTTTGCAGTTCAAGGGATTTACAGGTTTTTTGTTTTGTTTTGTTTGTTTGTTTGTTTGTTTGTTTTGGTTTTTTGGTTTTTTTTAAAGAAAATAATGGAATTCCCATAAGAAAATGTCTTTGTGCTTTCTGGAGTATTCACCTTTTCTCCTTCCACTTCATGATTTTTTTTCTCTGCCCAGAGCATCAGAGCAGAAAACGGTCCTGAGGGCTCATGCTCCTCCAGAGATGCCCTTATTAAAGTGGATGCTGCTGTCGTGTCCCGGAGGCGTGCTGTGTCTGAGACCTCCACTCACATACCTCGGTGAGTTTGTGCCAATGTCAGTGAGATATCGGTGTAGCACTAACACACCTCTGCTTACAAGAGTCACTTCCAGGGTATCCCTGTGCAGCCCTGTCTGACCTGGAGCTCACAGGGACCCACCTGTCTATGGAATGCTGGGATTAAAGGAGTGCACCACTGTGCCTGGCTTTCATGGACATTTCTGAGGATAAATGCTTGTGTGCTTGTGTTCTTGGAATCCAGAATAAGGCATCAGATCCCCTAGAACTGGAGTTAATAGGCCATGGTGAATAAACTTGAATGTGGGTGCTGAGAACAAATTCAGGTCCTCTCAGAGCAGGAAGTGATGTTAACTACTGAGCCATCTTTCCAGCCCTGAAAACACATCCTTTTTCTGCTGTCCACCTATCTGCTCACCTCTATTCTTCAAATTAATTCTGATGATGCTAAAAAATACTGGAGATAGCAGGGGGTGGTGCTGGTGGGTGCCTTGGTCTTGCCCTCAAAGTTTTCAAATGGGGGGGCCCTGACAGTCCTGTCTTCACACTGGTAAGTTGGTTATAAGCCCTGAAAATTCTGGGAAGTGAACAGGAAAGGTGACAGACAACTAGTGCCATGCTGGTGAGATCCAAAGAGAGATTGGAAGGCAGAGTGGCAGAGAGTCAATGTACAGAATCAGGACTGAAACAGATACAGTGCCCCCTAGCTTTGTGGGGAAGGCCAGAGAGGTCAGCATCTTTGGACAGTTCAGAATAGCCATGGAAGTGTGAGTGGTCCAGGTGACAAGAACTGAAGCAGAAATGGGATGAAGGCACCTTCCCAGTGCCCCTCACCCAGCACTCCTGGAAGAGCCTCCCCGTGACTTCATTCACATGGACTAGATAAACTCCAGTACAAGTCTCTGAGTTGCAGATGAAATACAAAGCTGCACTGTATAATAAGGTACATGGAAACATTGTTACAAACTGAGTAATTGCCTCTCATTGTAAACCTGTTCCCAAAGCAGGCAGCTTGACTTGAGTCACCGTGGAGTATATGCCCCAAAGGATGTCTACATGTTCCTGCCAACCAAACTCGGGGAATCCAGGACACTGAAAGTCAATTTGAGAAATAATTCTTTTTTTGCTCATGCAGTAAGTTGAAAATATTTCTGTGGGCTTTCAAAAGGTCATTTCTTAATGATTAGAAATATATTCTATAATATTTCAGTTGTGATACATTGATTTTTAAAGTTACTTTAATACTGTATTTGAGAGGAAATTCATTTGCAGTCCATGATCTTTTATTTGAAAATCAAATTAAAAAATTCTAACCTTTTTTTTCTTCCATATTCTGCCACACAGACATTTCTAGATAACATTTACATTAGTTAAACTCTTTAAATGTGTTTCTACTTACACAGCGCTCTTTGTCCTGCCTAATATTCAGGCTGAACCTAACTTTATGCAGTTTTATGTATGACAAATACCAAATTTTCCTACTGTCACAAAATGTCTCCTTTTCTTTTCCAGCTGAAGTTTTTGAGCCCTAGAGCCCCTTTCTACATCAAACACTCAAAATACTCCTTGAGGTGAGTTTATCAAAAATCATCGTGCTCTTCTGAGGGTACCAGACTCCCTTGGCATTGAGGGCAGGAGGGAGGGGGTGGGGGTCTCCGCTTTGCAGCGTCTCTTCTTCAGCGCTGGCAGTGAGGAACTTTCTGCTCACTCTTCGCAAGTATCTAAGAAAGTGAAGAATCCTGCCTAGGGTGTCGTTAGTCCCTGGGATCATCACAGAATCCTAGTGTGGGAGGTGTAGGTAAGGGAATGTAAGGGTCATGGTCCTTGACTCTACAGCGAGGCTGAGAGCAGCTTGAGCTATAGGAGACCTCTGTCTCAAAGAAACAAAAGCCGCAGGCCTCAAGCATTCCAGGCAGACATTCTAGAGTTGTACTATCTCAGCTTTAGATTTTCCTTTCCTTTCTTTCAGCAACTTGTTAAATATTAGCATTAAAAAAAATTAGAAATAGGCTGGGCAGTGATAGCACCTTAATCCCAGCACTCAGAAGGTGAGGCAGGCGGGTCTCTGTGAGTTTGAGGCCAGCCTGAGAGGGAGGTTCTGCAGGGGGAGTTCTAGGGCAGCCAGGACTACACAAAGAAAAATTATAGATAGGAATCCGCTCTTCTTGATTCTTCCAGCCTGTGCCAGCATTGCCGCAGCAGGTGCTGCTGATCACTGTCACACGCCTCCTTTCCTTCTCCCACAGAGCCCGACATTACATCCACATCCCGGTGCACTTCAGACCAGAGTCGGTGGGCAGATTTGAAGCTTTGCTTGTGATCCAGACAGATGAAGGCAAGAGTATTGCTGTTCGTCTAATTGGAGAAGCCCTTGGAAAAAATTAACTAGAATACATTCTGTGTAAATGAACTGTTATATTTTGGCAATCTCATTTTTCTACACCAAAGTTATGCTGTTGTATATATTTTGTATGATAAATTCAATGTATATAAAGTATAAATTTGTTTTAAGGAATTAGACCCTAACAAAATATCATGTATCTTGCTCACAGCGTTAACATTTACAGGGGAGAAATTCTATTTTTGAATTGATTGTGATATTCTGAATAAATACAGCATATGTTTTAATGTGGTGTATTCAGAAATAAACTTGAGTTTTTTTTTACTGAACTTGTCTTTCTCCATGATGCCACCTTATAAAAATTAGAATATAGATTTATCCTATTGTTCCCAAGCTTCAGAGTCTGCTTTGATTTCTCCTCTTTTACAGTTTTCTTTCCCCTAAGACATTTCTTGTATCTGTTAGTTGGTTGCCGAGATAGAATCTTCTTATTCTGTGTAAAGACAGTGGGGAAGCTTGTTTGTTTCCTAATGTTGTGCTTACTGTATTTAGTGCTGGAACGACAGCTGCTCCTGGTTGCAGTTTGGATATGACCTTTGCAGGCATGTGCTACCTGACGGGGTGGGAAGGACCTCATTCAGGGAGATTAGGAAGGCAGAAGCTACCCAGAAGGCGGAAGGTGAGAGGCTGCTTTCTGGCTAGCCACTGGTGCATCTCTTGAGCATGGTCACAGGCCCAGCCAGCAGCCTTCCGAGAAGCACAGGTGTTGGTGCAGTGTGGCCCTGGGGTTTTGTCTTGGTAGCGTTTTAAGTTTGGATAACTTAAACCCAACTGCAGTTAAAAGGAAGGATTGTGTCTGATAGAAAAGCAATCTCTGCATTCTAATTTTCTTCTGCCTAGAGATCAGACTTGCAGAGGCAGATGTGATAACTCATGCCTGCATTGCTAGCACCGTATATATATATTTTTTTGTTGTTTTGTTTTGTTTTTCGAGACAGGGTTTCTCTGTGGCTTTGGAGCCTGTCCTGGAACTAGCTCTATAGACCAGGCTGGTCTTGAACTCACAGAGATCCACCTGCCTCTGCCTCCCGAGAGCTGGGATTAAAGGCGTGCGCCACCATCGCCCGGCTAGTGCTAGCATTTTATATAAATATAAAAGACTGGGTGGTGGCAGCACACTTCTTTAATCCCAGCATTTAGAAGGCAGAGACTGGCAGATCTCCGTGAGTTTGATACCAGCCTGGTCTACAGAGCAAGTTCCAGGACAACCAGGGCTGTTAAAGAGAGAAACCCTGTCTCAGAGGATTGTTGGGACAGGGGTAAGACTTGTTTTGTTATTTTATTTTGCTTTTTGAGATGGGGTCTCTTTGTAGTCTTGGCTGTCCTAGAACTCACTGTGTAGACTAGGCTGGCTTTGAACTCATGGAGATCAATCTGCCTCTGCCTCCTACGTGCTGGGATTATTAAATTAAAGCCATAAACCACTACCACACTTGGCTTCTTGCAAAAGCTTCCAACATGATAAGCAGGTAGTGCTTTTCCCCACCCAGCTTCTCAATAGATTTTACATGTCACATGTAATGTCTCTTCACATTTGTGTGGGCATTTGACCGTATTGAGCTTCAGAAATTCTAAGAGTGCATGTTTTGTAATGTTCTTTCTGGTCCTTAATTTCCTAAGGGCTGCGCTGTTTGTTTCTGTGAAACCGCTGTGCCTTTATGCTGTACTAAGGAGGAGAAAAAGTATCGAAACACACGGAACTCTAAAAAGGACTCTACCTCCTTAGACCATCTAATGTTTCTGGACCTTCAGGTTCCTCTGCCTCATTTCTTGGAAACATGACATTTGGGGTCTTTAGAGCAGTTGGATAAGAGCTGTTGGTTTCTGAGCCTGCCCCCATTACTGAGTTCATCAGAGTTGCTGATAGGTGCACGGAATAGGTGAGCTTCCAGGGCCATGGTTCCCAACGACCCTTCCATCTGGAAGCTGCTGTTAGGCCTTTTCTGCTCACCCCATGTTCAGTCTTCACCTCCCTGGGCTCCAGGCTCATGTGTCTACGTGGTCATCAAATGGGAATCCCAAACTTAGTTCCCTGCCAGCCTTACCTATGCTTCTCCATGGCTTTTCCCAACTCGGCATCCCCACTACTTACTGATCCCCAGCTGGCCTGTCTGGGGTTCTTAATCCTGAGCCATTCTCCTATCCCAAAGTTCTTCGGAACATGGCTGTCCTTTTCTGACTACTACTGTCCAAGGTCAGAGGGGCCTTCCTGGGTCTCCCTGTCCAGTGTACCTCCTCTCCTCTTCAGGCAATTTTTCTTAGGTGTTTCCAAGTGAAAAATCTAGGCGTCCTTGCTCACCAGGCACCTCCAGCCCTCAGACACCTCACAGGGCATGCACGTAGCCTGTCACTGGCCACCCAGCAGCCCCTGCCATATCCACCATATGCTTCTGTCCTGGGAGGTTTTCTGAGCACCGCCCTCAGGCAGGTGACTAGATGTTCCTCCCTTTGTTCATAAACTTCATCTTCTCAGGCAAATGTGTGTGGAAGACTAGAGGAAAGCCAAGAGAAGGCTGGGTGGGGGTAGGCAACCATGGGGGATGCATGTCTCCTGAGAAGATGAAACTTTAATCTTCTTTGGAACTCTTCTTTGGGGACAGTGTTCCTCAGTATTCTCTGCCACCCATGTTGCTGAGAACCTTCTCCTTTCTTCTCCCTTGAGCACCTCAACCTCTGCAGTACTGAAAATCAGTCTTAAACCCATTACTAAGGAGTGTGTAATCCCTGCAGGAGAACACAGTGTGTAATCCCTGCAGGAGAACACAGTGGTGTTGTTTATTGGAAATGACACAGCATTAACTGCCTTCCAAACATACTTATATTCATAAACAAATGCCTTAATCAGAGAGCCTCTCTGCGCAATCAGCAGCCTTTTCCATGCTTTTTTAATGTGTAAATTTTGTTTCTTAAAGTTTCTAACAAAGTTGGCCATAATGTAAAGGTTTTTTTTTTTCCCCCCCAAAATGCTTTCTTCTAAGATTGTAAAACCTCTTCAGTTTTCTTCCTCTACACTTCCCACTTCTGCCTGGCCAACCCCCACCACCCATCTATCTTTCAAGGCTGGTTACCATCAAGACAAAATGAAGATATTTCAAAGAGTCACTTGTGCCCCTGTACTTGCTATCATGTATATTGTACATGACTATCACATTATTATAACTACGGAGCCTAAGAAATTGGGCTTTTCCTGGGAGTTTTATGCTAGAAGGAAAAGGCTGGGAGCTTGATGCCAGTTGGAGGGGCAGCTTGTCTCCTGAAGAGATGTCATACAGTTCCAGCAGCTTGTCAGGTCTCTCCAGGGGACACTGGAGCCCAGGGATGACGGGACTGAAGAATAACATGGATTGCTTAGCTATTGTGATGGATAACCTTAGTTACCAACTCCATCTGGAATCAACTAAAACCCAAGCTGCTGGGCCCACCTGTGAGGGATTTGCTTAAGTCAGGGTATTTGAATCTGGAATTTGAAACCTGGACCACATTTTCTGGTGGGAGGCCACATAAAAGGATATGGAAGAAGGAAGAGTTGATTTTTGCCTGTTTGCCTTTGCTCTTGCTGGTGGGTTCATCTTACCCTGCTTCTGTGGCTACTATTAAAATGACTTCTTCAGGGTTCCAATGTAGACTGAAAAGTAGAAGCTCAGGCTGGAGAGGTGGCTCAAATGTTAAGAGCAGTGGCTGCTCTTGCAGAGGTCCTGAGTTCAATTCCCAGCAACCACATGGTGGCTCAGAGCCCTCTCATAATGAGATCTGATGCTCTCCCCTGGCATGCAGGCATACATGGAGGCAGAATGTTGAATACATAATAAATAAATAAATCTTTAAAAGAACGAAAAGTAGCAGCTTTCCAGTAATCTTCATGGATTCCAGTGGCAGACTGGGATTGCAGAGACGTTGTACCTCATGTACTGAGCAACTCCCCAGTCTTGGCCTTTCTGTAGCCAATGGTTTGTTTGGATGGTCAGGGACTTTAGAAGAGCATGATTGACTGGAAAACAGGTGAGAAAGACATCCGGGGAGGAAGTATGTGCATAGATCTCTCCAAATGGGCGAAGGATGTGAGGATATTTGTGTCCCGTGTGGATGCTCATCCAAAGGTGACTTCAGCTGAGGAGGAGTTCAGTGATCAGGTAGATAGGATGACCCGTTCTGTGGGCAGTCAGCCTCCTTCCCCAGCCATCCCTGTCACCGTCTAATGGGCTCCTGAACAAAGTGACCATGGTGGCAGAGATGGAGGCTACGCATGGACTGTCACTCACCAAAGCTGACCTGGCTAACGCTGCTGCTGAGTTCCTGATCTACCAGCAGCAGAGACCAACACTGAGTCCCTGATAAGGCACCATTCCCGGGGGTGACCTGGTGACCTGGTTGACTCCATTGGCCCACTTCCTCTGTGGAAAGGACACTTTGTCCTTTCTGAAGTAGATTCTTCTTCTGGTTATGAATTTGCTTTCCTGAATGAATGTAATGCTTCTGCCAACACCATCCATGGTCTTACAGAACATCTACATACAATCCATGCAGGGTTACTTCTTCAGAGAAGTGCAATAGTGGGCCCGTGCTCATAGAACCTAGGGTCTCACCATGTTTCCCACCATCCTGAAGAAGCTGGCTTGATAGAACAGTGGGATGGCCTTTTGAAGTATTGGGGAGAGTTCCTCAGGAGGCTGTATGCCGTCTACACTTTGAACCAGCCTCTACGTATTGATACAGCTTCTCCTACAGCTGAGATCCATGTATCCAGGAATCAAGTGGTGGGAAAGGGAATAGTTCCACTCTCTATCACCTCTAGTGACCCACTAGGACAATTCTGCTTCCTTTTCAAGTGAACTTAAGTTCTGTTGATAAAGAAGTTTGGTTTCCATATGGGGAGTGCTGCAGCCAGGAGACACAGCAAATATTCCATTGAGTAGGAGCCACTGACTAACAGAAACCCCAGTGCCACCCCTTGAGTTGTAGGTTAGGGGGACCCGAGAAACTCCCAAACATACCTGCATCCAGTGACCCTGGTGTTGAACTGGTGTTGAAGCGATGGTCTGGATTGTTCAGATGCTTTCTATTGGTGATGATGGTTTTTGAGAGGCGTTGGAAATGACATCGACTGAAGATAAAGTTCGAAGCCTGGAACATTTATTCTCAGACTCACCTCCTAATATGTAGTTTAGGAGATGGAAAGGGCTAAGTGCACTCAGTGGGGGTGACTGTCAGGGCCAGCCACCCAAAGATGTCCCTGGTACCTACCTGCCTTGTTGGAAAACTACACTGCAGC